GACAAGACGAGGGCCGAGCTCCCGGAAGGCCCGAACAGGACGAGGAAGACCAGAAGCCTTTGGCATCCTTTGGTCCGGAGGCGCCGGCCGACTGGTTCCGCGCGGTCGGTCGCTCTCTCTCGCTCCCACCCGGGGCGCCCCGTGAGTGCGAGAGAGAGAGAGAGAGCGACGGGCCTCGCGCGGAGTCAGTCCGCTGCAGGCACTTCCCCGTCCACGCGTCCGGCGCGCTTTCGTGCCTTTCGTGCAGTGTGTCAGGCCCGTCTCTCTCACACTCGCTGTCTCTCTCGCGCTCACGCGGCGCCCCGCGGCGGTGCGAGAGAGACAGGACGAGGCCGGGGTGCCGGGGCGTCCTTGAGCCCCGCGCGGGGCCGGCTGGCTGGACGCGGGCCGAGTCCGAGCGGCTAGGCGCGCTTTCGTCGGTCTGTCTCTCTCGCACTTGTGGGGTGTCGGGACAGTGGACGGCGCGCCGCTCTTTGTGGTGGGTGGACGCCGGCTGGCGGCACTCTGGCGGCGAGACGGTCTTCTTCACCTCGGCGCCATTAGAGGCTGGTCCGTCTCATGCTGATCTGACCTCCAGTGCAGGTCCAGCCCGGCGCGGCCCGGCCCAGCGGATTGCAGGACTAGTATCGAAATGAGCGGTCTGTGCCTGGAACTGCCTGGAGCTGCCTGGAAGGCAGCGCAGGGACCACACAAGTCAGGGCCTTTTTCTCTGCCTGCCCGTCCTCCTGATGCCGTGCCCTCTTCCCCCACCTCCCCGCCCCACCCCGCGCGTCCGCGCCTTTGCAAATCATGCATCCTTTTCGAGTTCCAGTTGTTCGGTTCGGCAGCCCCTGAACCCCGCGACCCTCGCGGCCGTGCGCCGTATCGGATGGCGCCTCTTCGCTCTGTCTCTCTCGCACCCACGCGACGCACGCGGCGCGCCCCGTGCGAGCGAGAGAGACGGACGGAGACGCCGCACTGCTCACTGGCACTTGTTGGCGCGGGACTCGGAGACGCCGTGACGGATTCGGACGTGTCGACACAGCCAATCACAGCGCGGCGAGGCGCGGACTGGACTCGCAGCCCTGGACTTTTCGGGGAAAGGGGTTGAGCCAAGCGCCCATCAATGAAATCGCAAAAAGAAAATGTTTAGGAATTGCGTCTGCATGCGTGTCTCTTGGCAGTGCAGTGGTTTTGAAGCAGCCCCTTGGCAGCGGGTGGTGCCAAATACGGTGGAAGAGCGTCGTAACGCGGCGGAATATCTGCCGGGCCGTCGTCCGAACAGTGGCTCTGTCTCTCTCGCCCTCATGGGGCGGTCCGCGGGGGCGTGCGAGAGCGAGAGAGACAGAGCAGTATTCAGAATCGGCCTGCGCACGGCTCATTGACACCGTTGCTGCTTGCGGGTCGGTTTCACGGTTTGACCCCGCGGTCTGCTCTGCAATGCCAGTGTGGTGGCGCCGCGACGTCGGGGAGGGTGGCGCGCCGTCTCTCTCGCACCCTGCGAGACGCCCTCGAGAGCGACAGAGACAGAGCGACTGCTCGGGATCAGTCGGCTGCCCCCGATCATCGGGATGGATAATGCTGCGGTCGGCGTCGGAAGTCACCCTCGGTCACTTCCGACGGTTTCTCTTTACGCAACGCCACTCCGTTGGCGTGTTCCTGTGTGTGCTGGTGCCTGCGCCCAGTCGACGAGATGGCGAACACGTGCTGATCGCTGCAATGAAATCGCTGTGCCACATTCGAACGCTCCAGCGTGTACTGAAAACTTTCTTTCGGTTCAAAAAGAGGGCCCGGGGACGCCCCAACGGAGTGGTGACGTTGCTCCCATGCAGTGTGATCCTCTCGCACTCGTGGGGCGTCCCGTATGGGTGCGAGAGAGACAGGCCGACGCCTGCCGCTGGACTTTGAATGGGAAGCAGACACACGACGCGGCGTTGCGTCGCAGGGGAGGCACACTGTAAGTACGCCAAGCACGGCCTGCACCCCGCGGAGGTCAAGCAGCAGCCCATGTTAGTTGGCGGCCCCTCGCAGTCTGATTGGCCCAATGGAATGAATGGCGCTCTGTCTCTCTCGCACCCGTGGGGCGTCCCGAAGGTGCCCCACCATTCATTGCACCCAGCCTATCTCGCTCTGTCTCTCTCGCACCCGTACGGCACGCCCCACGAGTGCGAGCGAGACAGAAAGCGCGTTGAGCCCGCTGGACACCACCCTGATGACTGCCCGCTCAAAGTAGGTCATTATGAATCACTCAATGGGACCGCCTCGCCGCCTCGCCGCATTGCTGCATTGCACGAACGGCCAAGTCGTGAAGCGTCCCGCCTTTGGCCAAACCGAACAAAACGGTGGAGGCATGGCCGCAAGGCAGCGACAAAAAGGCGTAAGTCTTGCACTTGTTAGAAATGCTGTCTGTCCGTCAGGTCGTCCCCGTGCGACCCTAATCGAACCATCGATCGAACCATCGAACCGAAAACGAGCAATCTATCGCCACCCAGAACAGAGGTCCACCACACTCGCACCCCTACGGTACGCCCCATGCGAGTGAGAGAGACAGAGCGACGAAAGCACTGTTCGGAATACAGCCTGGGTCACGCGATCGCGTGGGGACTGGGGATGCGCAGCTATGAGAAGCTCCTGTCCTGTCTGTTCGTCCACGGACGCGTCCTTCTGTCCGTTCGTCCTTCTGACGGAAATTATTCCAATCAAGCAGCACTTGCGCCAGGGCCGCTTCTTTGCGCCTTCGGACATCACGCGCCGGAGGTATGCAACCCGCGCTCCATTTCCGGACTACTGTTGTTGTTGTTGTGTTGTTGTTGTTGGCCCGCCCCTCACGTAACGACAACTGGAGCAGCGTACTCGTCCAAAGGAACGCATCCACCATGACACTGCCGTTCGCTCTGGACAGACTGATGGTTCCGAACAGAAGTGCCTGCGTTGCTCTGTCTCTCTCGCTCCCACACGCGACGCGCCATGCGTGCGAGAGAGACAGACAGCGCAGTTAATTCGGAATCCAGGCTGCTGCGGGAGCAGTAAGGGCCTTATCCCGGAGAAGACTCTAACTCTCTCTCTCTCTCTCTCTCTCTCTCTCTCTCTCTCTCTCTCTCTCTCTCTCTCTCTCTCTCTCTCTCTCTCTCTCTCTCTCTCTCTCTCGCCGGATCAACGGATTAACGTGTTGTGAAGCGATCCCGCCCCGGGCTGTGGCCGAATGGCCGAACCGTCATGTCCGCTAATTAGGGGAGTCGTCTCTCTCGCACCTACACGTGACGCCCCGTGAGTGCGAGAGAGACGGAGCGATGGAATCCTCTCGGAATCCGTCTGCAGCTCCGCGCACCCAAGCCAGTGCACTCCCGGACAAGCACATCAGTTACCGAACAGATTCGTAACACGGACAACATGGATCAAGCTGGATCACACCAAAATATTTATTTCAATATTTTTTTTTCAGACAAATTGTTTTTTGAGAATTTTCTGTTTGCTTGCAAAATATATTATTGACAGCAAGTACTTGAGCCCAGCTTTTTTTCCCTCCACCGAAATCTGGTCAGGTTTCGAGTCTCGACTCGGAGGCGTCGCGGCGCGGGATGGCACGACACCGCAGGACTCTCCGTGCCGCGCGTGTCCTCCGGGTCCTCTGCAGGCCGCGCTATCGGCCGAGGCGTGGCGGCGTGGCAGTGTGGCGGCGTGGCGGGTGCCATTCAAAAGCTTCCAAAGTGTGGACAGTATCGACAAATGACGCAAACAAAAGACGGCGTGCTGTTGCGCCGGGGCTGTCCGGGACTCTAATGTAGCGAGGGCGGCGTAACCGTCCGAAAGCGGCATCGACTCGTCGAGGAAGCCGAGCACCTCGCCGCGTCGCCACACCCACCGCTCTGTCTCTCTCGCACCGGCGCGGTTCACCCCGTGAGTGCGAGAGGGATGGAACCGCTCCGACGACGGCGCGCGACGGCGCGAAAAAGCGCGGGAAAATGGTGCAACACAAAGAAGAAGTACATTCCTAAACGGACTCCAGTGGCGTGCGGGACGGCCGCGGGGAGGTTGCACTGCGCTTACGGCCCACGCAGTGGCGCGGTGGTCCACCGCGGACGCGCTCCGGTGGCCAGACAGGCCGCAAACACACAACTCGATGCAAAGTCAAGTTCACGAGGCCGGGCCGGGCGCCGAGTAGGGCCGAGTATGGCCACCTCGGCAGATGCGACCCGTGGCCCCGCGGACGCCGCGCCGCAGAAGCGGTCCGGTGCGCACGGCCAGGCACGGCCAGGCACGGCCAAACGCCAACAGGCTGCCCAAAGGTCTGCCGGACCAGAAGGACCAGAACTCCAAAACGCGGCGACGCGGCGGCGGCGGCCAAAGTCAGAGTCACCTCCCCCTTCCCTCCCTCGCCCGCCGCGCTGCGCCAGCCGGCCACTTCCGAACGGCGCTGTTGTCGCTCTGTCCCCCTCGCACCCACGGCGCGTCGCTGCGCGCGACAGAGACAGCGTGCCCGCAGTGAGCCGGCAGCGCCTCCACGGCGACCTCCACCCTCTCCCTCCCTGCGCGGCTCGGCGTCGTCGCGGCCCTCCCGGCCGGCCCGCGTACGCCGCGGTGCACGCGGAGCACGCCCCCACCTGCCCAGCATCCGTCGTCGACGTCGTCCTTGCATCAGATGGAGATCCTCTCCCTCCCGGCCGCCCGCCCCCTCCCCGCCCCTCCCCGCCCCGTACGCGCACGCCGCTCTGCGACCAATCAGAAATCCTAGAGTTCATCTTTATTACGTCAACAGCCGCCGCCCCTCTTCTGGCGCGCGGCGGGGCGGGGGCGGCGGAGGCCGCGGAGGCCGGCGGGGGCGGCGCCTTCCGTCCGCCCCTCCAGAGCCATCCCGGAGCCATCCCCCCGGGCCGCCCCCGCGACGCCCCCGGCCAGCCCTCGCGCCGCCCCGCTCGCCGCCCCCGGGGCCGCCTCGGGGGCGGCGGGGTCCCCGTCGGGGTCCCCGTCGTGGCGAGGTATATAAAGGCCGGGCGGCGCGGTGGGAAGTCAGTCGACTCGACCGCTCCAACCCAAAACATTGTTCTCAAGTCTGCGTCTGCAGAGGTAAGCGGGGCAGTGCAAGCGAGAGTGCAAGCGAGTGCGCCGCGAGTGCAAAAGTGCAGTGAAGTGCAGCCACAGTGTGCAAGTGTGCAAGTGCAACGGTGTGCCACGCCCAGAGGATACGTCTTGGATACCGCTACCCCGCCGCCGCCACTGGTGACAGAATGACTCATCGAACTGCGTTTCAAAATTCGCTCACTTTTTCAAAAAAAAAATTAATGAAATTGTCACTATACCAAATAAATTTTAGTCTTTCGTAAATTTGACACAAATGTAAATTGTTGACTTCTGTCAGTAGGCTATAAAAATTGACCTATCGACTGTTCAAATTATAAATTCTCTGTTCTAGATCAATACCATTTTTCAAAAAACGTTCTTGTCAACATTTTGGCTCTTTCATAAAATAATCAATATTTCAATCTTGTCAAAACTTCTTGACTTTTCCATACAAATAGGACCCTTTCAACAAACAAAACGCGAAAAGCTTCTCTCAAATCGGGACTTTGAACTGACATCCGTAACAAACTGGCCCTCCTAAAAAAAATCACTAAAAAAGAGAAGAATTTTTTTCTGACAACAACTGGAACTGACAACCACGACGCGCGTTGCGCTGCGTGCGTTCGCGTGCCGCAGAAAAGGTTCGCGGGTCGCGCACTGCACGCGCACGGCCAGGCCGGCGGTTCGCGCCCCGCGGCCGGCGGGTCATGAATATTTATTGTCGCGATTCCGAGATTAGGCGTCGCGTTTTCTCACCCGCACCTCTCGATTGAAATTAATTCCTGCGCGGTTCGCCTCGCCTCGCGTCGACGGGGATCGAGGTTGCCGCTTCCCGAAATTCCACCGCTAATCAAATCAAACAAGCGCGCACTATTTTTGTTTCCTGGTTCATGGACTAATTAAGTGGCGGCGTGCGCCGAGCCGCGGCGTCTCTCGTCGCCTCGCTTCCGACGTCGTCCGTTCGGAGACTCCAACGCGGGGCAGAGCCGAAGCGCTTCGCACGGTCTATTCCTAGTGCGGTGTGAAAAAATTTTTATTTGCCGAGACGCGCGCCGTTGTAACATGACACTGATATGAGCGACTCGCAGTTAAGGCTGTGTCTGTTTTGAAGAAAGGCGTATCATCCAAAAAGTAACTGCCTGTTTTTTTTTTTGTTCGCGAATCTTGTATAGTAACTCGTATCCTTTCTTCATCGCGTTAACAACGCCGCGACGCTCTGGCCACTTACCGAGCCACGTGTTTAGACGTCTCAAATGTCATGATGCGCCCTGGCCGGCCGGCCGGCCTGGCGGGGCCCGGCGGGGCCTGGCCCCGATATTGGCGCCGCCACGCCCTCTCCAGCAGGGCGTCTCTCTCGCACCCCTGCGGCACGCCGGGCACGCCCCCCGAGTGTGACAGAGACAGAGCGACGCGATTCGGAATCCGGACCGCAGAAGTAAGACGCGACTGTCCGAGCGACTGCCTCACTCTCGTTCAAAAAGTTCGAACGGGCGCGCCCCGCCCCGCCCCGCCCCGCCCCGCCCCCGCCCCGCTTCGTGAAGCAGCGCCGCGTGAGGCAACGTGTTGCTTCGGCCGGCTGTCCGTCTCGGAGGTGCAGGCCTGCAGGCCGCGGTGCAGGCCATCGCCTGGCTATTAGGCTGCAGTTACAGCAGGGGGGGGGGGGGGGGTGACCTCTCGAAGTAACCTCCTCCACCCTCCAGCCGCCACCCCGACCACCCACCGGCAGTTGACTACTGGCCCCCGAAAACCGAGTTTCGCGTTGTGCCCTGCTTCCAATCGTGGTCGTGGGCCGAGCGATCCCCAAGACTGGTCCCGTCGCTCTGTCTCTGTCGCACCCCAGTGGCGCGCCGCGTGAGTGCGAGAGAGACAGCGCGATGAAAGCGGCGTTGGGCGTGCTGATCGGTGCTTCGGTGCGCAGGTGATAATGGTAGCGACTTGCCGCCACGGTGGCCCTCCCACGGCACGGGCCGGGCTGCGTGTTCGAGCCTCCCGCACTGTTAGCGGCCCGCCACGCCCGCCAGGCCCGCCAGGCGTTCCCAGTGCAGTCCCCAGAGTCCCCACTTTCGCCAGCAATGCCTGCACTCCTATCGCGGCGTAACGCTCTGACAGTGACCCTGGTGGACTCGGTGACGATCCCTCGTCGCTCTGTCCCTCTCGCACTCAAGGACCCTGCGTAGGGGTGCGAGGGAGACAGAGCGACGAAAGCCCTGTTCGGACAAGCGTAACACTGATGACGAGACGCGGCGCCGTGCTGTGTCGGAGGCCAAAGGCAACCAGGAGGCAGCCAACGGGCTTGCGAAGAGGAGAGGCAATTTCACGATTTCTTTGCCTTTGCCGCTGTCCAGTGCAGTCGTGCCGATCGAGCCGCCTCAAGGAACACACCTTCCGATGATGCGGAGGGGCGGCGCGGGGTGGGGTGCGGCGGGGCGCGGCGAAGGCCACGCACTCCGACCGGCCTCAACAAGTGCACTCGCCTGGTGACTAATCTAACCGTGTTTTTCGCTCTTTTGCCGCCACAGGTGTGTCGGTGGGTCCAAGTCCACCGGGGTCGCCGACAAGATGGCGCTGAAATCTGCTCTCGGTAAGTTGAAGAATCACTCCGGCAGCACGGACTTGGTGTCCTCTTGTTCGCGGTCTGAAGTCTGGAAGTGCCTGCCTCCGAGCAGCGCGTGCCTCACGCACACACACACGATCTCTATCACGGGGGGCGTAGGCCAGCCTGGCGGTTTGGACTGCGTGGCGTCCTTCTCCCACGCACGGCCCTCCATCGTGCCCACACCGTAAACTAGCCATTCCGCGTCGGTTCGCGTCAGCGGCCGATCGATGGCCGGGAGGATGCTCAGGATAATCAACGAGTGATGCCGCCGGAAGGACGCGCGCCTCGCGCGTTAGGCTGGAGCTTTGTGAAAATAAAGTCCGTGGGCTTTGGAAATAAGTCTGTGGGCTTTGAAAAGTTTAGTCTGTGAGCTTTGCAAACCGGTCTGTGGTCTGTGCAAATTAGTCTTAAAATAAGAGTCTGTGGGCTTTGCAAAAAAATCTGTGGGCTTTGAGAAAAAAAATCCTGTGGGTTTTTGAAAAACTGCGATGGCGGTCCTGGCTAGTGTAACCGCGGCGCGCTTTCGCGTGCACCGTGACGTTCGACGGAGACGTCTCTGGAGCTTGGCGCTTGTTGCTTGTTCTACTTTATTCGGCGATTACCGCCGTTCGGCCGGCCGCGTCATCGCCAGACAAAGAAACTATGCATTACTCGAAATTACGACGCCGAGCTCTCCCCCGCAACGCCCTCGGCAACGCCGCGCCGCGCGGGCAGTCTACACCGCGCCGAAGTGGTGCCGACGCACAGGGCCAGCAGGCCAGTGGAGGCGGACAAAACTCTAGACGCGTTTTGAGCTCCAGAGTCGCTAAATGGGACTCGAATCGAATGTGTGACCCCACCAATGGATTCCTCGTTCGGAGAGCAATCCGTTGGTGGGGTCACACGTCCGGTTCGAGTCCTGTTTGGCGACTCTGGAGCTCAAAACGCGTCTCGACTTAAGTCCGCCTCCACCAGTCTTCTGGCCCACTGTTCGACGTTGACCCAACTTCGGCGATGCACCTCTCAGTCTGCCGCCTTTCTTGTCGATTCGCAGTGCCGGCCTTAACCTCGCCGCGCTGCACTGCGTGTGTCGAGCCACTTACAGAGGCCGCGGAACATCAAAGCGCCCCTTTGGCACCGCGCCGTTTATGGCACTTCGCGCGAAAAAAAAAATGGGAGAAAAACACAATGGGGAAAGAAAGAAGATAAAGTTCTCCGGGTTGGCCTCATCAGCAGAAACGTCTTTTAATTAAGGCTTGGTTGTTAATGCGCGCGTGTTTGAAACGGGAGCGCCGTCCTAAATCAGAGTCCTTTCATCAAATCACTTCCATTGATCGAGTTTGATCGCCCCATCAGTAGGACAGTCGTGTACTTTCCGCCCATCTGTCTGTCCGTCCGTCTGTCTGCCTGTCCACAACCCACTGTAAAACTAGCGCGGCTGCCTACCCTCCCGGCGCCGCGTCTGCCGCGGCGAGGCGGGCCGGACAGGGTCAGCGGCTGCCTTCTGTCTGTCTGTCTGTCTGTCTGTCTGTCTGTCTGTCCGTCCGACTGTCTGTCTGTCACTCCACCCGTCCGTCCGTCTGGCCCTCTCTCTGGGAGTACCGCGGCGCGGGTACCTCACACCTACGCACACACACACTCACACACACGTGCGCGCTCACGCATTCACTCATTCAGCGGCAAGTGTTGTTAACGTGCTTGTTCTCAGAGGTCACTGAGGCAATGCGGTGGGCGCTGGAAGAAAACGAATCGAGGGGGGGGGGGGGGCTGCTGCTGAGGGTCCTGTATGACGATCGTTACGCCGCGTGACGCAACCGACTGACTGTCGCACGTGAGTGTGACTGTGACGACGGCGGACGCGGAAACGACTCGTCACGGCGACACTGTGACGGCGCCCTGCGGACTGATTCCGAGAGTCGTTTTCGTCGCTGTGTTTCGCTCGCACCTACAGGGACGCCCCTTGGGTGCGACAGAGACAGAGCGACGAAAACGACTCTCTTCGGTAAGTGCTGCGCGACCTTTGCCGTCCCGCCGAGCAAGGTCCACGCCACTTTGGACCGCCTTCAGGCCGCCGCTGCAGCTCGCAGTGTAGGTGTCACCCCGCACCCCGAGCCCGAGGGTGTAGCGCCAGCGTGCGAGGCGCCGCACGGCACCGCACGGCACTCAAGACAGACTGCACTAGACCAGGCGGGCCCCGGCCCCGGGCCTGAATGGGAAGAGACCGCCATTCAGGGCGCGATTCGCACCGAGAAGGATTCGACCGCGGCGGTCAGTCACTCCGCGTCCTCGACGCGTCGAAGCGAGGCAGACAGCGCGTTTTACTTGTCAGTGTGGTGGCCGGGAAAAGGCTTTATTAGTCCGGCGGGGACTTCGCAAAACGCGGAGGCGCCGAGAGGCTGCCGTTTCCGCGGTGCAGCGCCAAGCGCGACGCCGGTGCGCGGCAGCGCGGCGCACAGTGGGCCAGAAGGCGGTGAGGGCGGTCCAAATCCCGGACGCGTTTTGAGCTCCAGAGTCGCTAAATAGGACTCGAACCGAACGTGTGACCCCACCAATGGATTGCCCTCCGAACGAGGAATCCATCGGTGGGGTCACACGCTCGGTTCGAGTCCTGTTTAGCGACTTGGAGTTCAAAACGCGTCTGGAGCTTTGCCCGCCGGCGACGGTCTTCTGGCCCACTGTGCCCCGGGGGCCGGAGCCCTGCCGCCCCGCAGCCTTCTTAAAACTCATCTCGTCGTTCCCACGCCGGACCGCGGCCCAGTGCACGGTCGGTCCACGGTCCAGGGCGTCAAGGCGGCCGGCCCAAGGACGCTCGGCGTGCTGGCATACGGCACGCACGCCGCGCCACTGTGTTGTTTTTGTTCTTGTTCTTGTTTCTCTCCGAGCCGCGAAACGGGGCTGCCATGCCACACGATCCTTCGTTACGATGAGCATCCCTAGCGTAGCCGCGCCTCGCCGCCTCGCGGGCCGCTGGCTGACTCAACAGGGGTCACGGGGGCCTTTGCGGCGTCGCGGCGCGTCGCGGCAAGTCGCGTCGCGGGGGCGTGTCTGCGACGCGGCGCGACGCGGCGTGTCTCACCCTTGGTGCCCGGCGGTGCCCGGTGTTGCCCGGGGCAGCGGGCTTTCGTCAGGCGCCATGCGTGCAGCGGTCCATCCAGCGGTCCCATTCCAAACAGGCGTCTCTCTCGCACCCCTGCGGGGACGGGCGAGAGACTAGTTCGGAACGAGCAAGGCGACACGACGTGTGCGACGCGTGTCGTTTCCGACGCGTGTGCGGGTACGGCTGGCGCGTGGCCCGCGGTGGGAACTCTGGGGCTCCCAGGGGATTGTGGGCGGGCCAGGGGCCGGGCCAGGCCGGGCCAGGCCGGGCAGAGCTGGGCCGGGCGCTGCAAAACGCACGCCCAGCTGTGTTACCGCAAAGTATGTGCGTTATCCCACCGCGATCGGCCGGCCCGGCCGCCCGGCCAGGGCATTTCGTACTTGCTAAGGCCCGCGTGCTTCTCCACTCTAACCAATGCCGTGCTTTCTGTGTTCCAGTTCTCTTCGCCCTGAGCTCGGTCGCTTGGGTGAGTAGCGGTCCACCCCGACGCTCCCCACTCGCACTTCGCCCTACTCATGGCGTCCTCTGTTCCAGGGCCAGGAGGGATACTACTACCCGAGGCCGGGCGGCTCCGACTTCGGCCCCGGCAGCTCCACCACGGCCCGGCCAGGGCTCACCACGCCCACCCCGTTCGCCGACCAGCCCTCGCCCGGCAGGCCCTTCTCCTCGTTCCCGTCCACTTCCGGTGGCGGCAGCTTCCCGTCCACTTCCGGTGGCGGCAGCTTCCCGTCCACTTCCGGCGGTGGCAGCTTCCCGTCCACTTCCGGCGGTGGCAGCTTCCCGTCCACTTCCGGCGGCTTCCCGACCGGCAGCACCGCCGGGCCCGGCTACTCTGGCCAGGGTAGCTTCCCGTCGACCGCCGCTCCCGGTGGCTTCTCTTCGTTCCCCTCCACCCCCAGCCAGGGCGGCTACACCTCCGGCTCCCAGGGCGGCCAGGGCGGCTACCAGTTCCCCTCGACCTCGGCTCCCAACCAGGGCGGCCAGGGCGTCACCGGCTACCAGGGCGGCCAGGGCGGCCAGGGCGTCACGGGCTACCAGTACCCCAGCCAGGGCGGCTTCACCGCCACCACCGCGCGCCCCTCTCCCTTCGGCGGCTTTACCTCGGCGCCGTCCGGCCCTGCTGGCTCTGGCTACCGTCCGGGCACTTCCGGTTTCGTGCAGGCTTCTCCTGTGACTTCCGGCCCGTCCGGCCCGTCCGGCTACCCGCAGAGCGGCGCCGGCTCCACCGGCTTCACGCAGGCGAGTCCTCAGTCCTTCCCCCAGACCGGCTACTCCTCCACCGGCACCACCCCGCGGCCCGGCTTCCCCGGCACGTCCGTGGGCTTCCCCACCACCCCGCGGCCCGGCCAGCAGGGCTTCAGCTCCACCACCCCCTTCCCCGGGCAGCAGGGCTTCAGCAGCACCACCGGCTTCCCCGGCCAGCAGGGCTACAACCAGGGTGGCGTCGGCCCCTACGCCGGCGGCCAGAGCACCTCGTCTCCCTTCGGCGGACCCCAGGGACCCTCTTCTTCTTTCGGTGGTTCTCAAGGTCCGCAGGGTCCCTCGGCTTCCTTCGGCGGCAACCAGGGCCCCAGCGGACCCAGCGCTTCGTTCGGCGGCAACCAGGGCCCCGTCGGTCCCTCTGCTAGCTTCGGCGGCTCCCAGGGTCCCCAGGGTCCTTCGGCTTCTTTCGGCGGTTCTCAGGGTCCTCAGGGACCTTCGGCTTCTTTCGGCGGCAACCAGGGTCCCGTTGGTCCTTCTGCTAGCTTCGGCGGCTCCCAGGGTCCCCAGGGTCCATCTGCATCCTTCGGCGGCAACCAGGGTCCTGTTGGACCTACCGCTAGCTTCGGAGGATCCCAGGGTCCTCAGGGTCCATCGGCTTCTTTCGGTGGCAACCAGGGTCCCGTCGGTCCCAGTGCTTCTTTCGGCGGCAACCAGGGTCCCGTTGGTCCTTCTGCTAGCTTCGGTGGTTCCCAGGGTCCTCAGGGTCCATCTGCATCATTCGGCGGCAACCAGGGTCCCAGCTCCGCGTTCGGCGGCCAGGCTGGCGGCGTCGGCCCGAGCTCTGCTTTCGGCGGCCAGGGCGGCAATGTCGGTCCCAGCTCTTCCTTCGGCGGCCAGGGTGGAAGCGTCGGCCCGAGCACCGCGTTCGGCGGCCAGGGCGGCGTCGGCATTCGCGGACCTTCGTCCGGACCCTCTGGCACTGCTGGCGGCGCTGAGGACGACGGCTCCTACCCCGGCGGTGACTATTCCGCCATCCCCGGCGAGCCCGACAGGGACTACCCCATCTACACCGAGATCGTCCAGACCGGCTTCAAGTGCAACCAGCAGCAGTACCCCGGCTACTACGCCGACGTCGAGGCCCGCTGCCAGATCTTCCACGTGTGCCACAACAACCGCACCTACGACTTCCTCTGCCCCAACGGCACCATCTTCAGCCAGGAGCACCTGGTGTGCGTGTGGTGGTACCAGTTCGACTGCAACACTGCTCCCGACCTCTACTACAAGAACAAGGACGTCTTCACCAACAACATCGTTGGCTGTGCTGCGTGCGCCCAGGCCCAGGCCGGTCCTCAGGGCTTCCCTGGCTCTTTCGGCCCCTCTGCCTCTTTCCCCGGACAGCAGGGCCCTTCGGGACCCTCCGTTGGCTACTCTGGACAGCAAGGACCCGTTGGCCCATCTGCCTCCTTCCCTGGACAGCAAGGACCTGTTGGCCCCTCTGCCTCATTCCCCGGACAGCAAGGACCTGTTGGCCCCTCTGCCTCATTCCCCGGGCAGCAAGGACCTGTTGGCCCATCTGCCTCATTCCCTGGACAGCAAGGACCCGTTGGCCCATCTGCCTCATTCCCTGGACAGCAAGGACCCGTTGGCCCATCTGCCTCATTCCCTGGACAGCAAGGACCCGTTGGCCCATCTGCCTCATTCCCTGGACAGCAAGGACCCGTTGGCCCATCTGCCTCATTCCCTGGACAGCAGGGCCCCACTGGTCCTACCGTCAGCTACTACTCGGGGCAGCAGGGACCCGCTGGCCCATCTGCCTCGTTCCCTGGACAGCAAGGACCCGCTGGCCCATCTGCCTCATTCCCCGGACAGCAGGGCCCCTCTGGCCCCTCTGTCGGCTACCCTGGCCAGCAAGGCCCGTCTGGCCCATCCACCTCCTTCCCCGGACAGCAGGGCCCAGCTGGTCCTGCCGCTTCCTACCCTGGCCAGCAGGGTCCTTCTGGCCCCAGCTTCTCCGGACAGCAGGGTCCCTCTGGTCCCTCTGGCTCCTTCCCTGGACAGCAGACTGGCTCCACTGTCGGCTACTCTGGCTCTTCGTCCTTCCCCGGTCAGCAAGGCCCTAGCACTGCTGGCTTCCCAGGTACGGCACCTTCCACTGTGAACATCTGGAAAATCCGCGCCTCTGAAAAGCGCTAACACTGGCCTTTCTTTTCATTGCAGGATCTCAGGGCCAGTTCGGGTCCACCACCGCCTTCCCCGGCTCGTCCAGCAGCGCCTTCGCCGGCCAGGGCGGCCAGGGCGGCCAGGGCTACAGCGGCTCCACGGCGACGTCCTCGTACCCGGGCCAGCAGGGCAGCACGGCGACGTCCGCTTTCCCCGGCCAGTTCGGCTTCCAGGGCTCCACGACCGGCTTCCCGTCCAGCACGGCGCGCCCCGTCGAGTCCGACACGCCCTTCGTGTCGTCCACGCCGTTCCCCGGCTCCACCGCCAGGCCCGGCCTGCCCAGCCTCAACAGGCCCACGCCGCCCAACAGAGAGTACCTGCCGCCGCTCGCCGGCTGAGGAGACAACACGGTTCGCCGCGAACAGAAACAGGGTCCGCTGCGCCGCGCTGGGACCGCCAGCGCCAGCCGCAGCACCAACAATCGTTACCATTCTACTGCCACTTCATCTCATGTTTAAGCGGGTGGTTCATGCCATGGCGTGTCTGTGATACGTCCCATCAGTCCATTTTGTAAGATAAGTTATTTAAGTAAGCCACTCCCCGAAGTGGCGGCGCAGAGAGTCGCGTGGGTAATTTCAAAGACGACGATGTCCTCATAGCTCCCGTTCATCACTGTCATTCATTTTTGTACTATTTATTTCGGTATCAGGCTGCGTGAGTGCTATGCTTCTGTCTGTACTTTGAAATATACCACATGATTGATGAGAAATCTTTGTCTCAAAAACCACTTTATTTCCCTGCTCCTGCTTCCAAAGAAAATCACATCAGCAAATCATAAAAATTCGACTGACAAAGAGAATCAACAATTTCTGAGCGGTGCCATTGATGCGAGCAGAGATCTTTCCTGCAGTGCCCCACAACTTTCAGAATAGGTGAAGTTGGATGTGATTGGTTTTTCATGCTAGTTGTACCGAGCGGACACTCAGGAGGTAAATAAAAAGATAAGCTAGTTTAGCAAGTTGGTCAACGTGGCTCTTCGCGAATACACCGAGCCGTAACATTCAATGAGTGGGTCAACCAGCACATAACATCGAGCTCCGCAACGGGCCAATATAATGACACCCAGACACCCACACCGCCAACATTTTCCGACAATTATCGTTGCTCTTTGGGACACACTCACTGGGGCCTTTCTTTTTGCTGGCTTGCCGCTGGCATAACTGACATTGCTGTAACGCGGCCCTATCCACGTGCTGCACCACCTCGTTGCGAGGCCCGACGCGAGGCTAGCCGCGACGATAGCGAGGCTAGGGTCATATAGACGTCTTTTACAATCCTCTCCACTCCACTCGCACGCACTCAGTTTTTGTCGTGCCATCACGAGGCGTGCCGCGCGAGCCGCCACTGCAATGAGCTTCCAGCGCACTACACTGCCACACACACACACACACACACACACACACACACACACACACCACACACACACACACACGTTCCCGGCCGCACGATGCACGAGCTCATCCTCTAGTTACCCCTAGCTCGACCTCGACCTTGACTCTGAGAGGCTGATTCCGAACAGACACTCCGTCTGTCTCTCTCGCACCCCCGCGGAACGCCCCCGGAGGGCGAGAGAGACAGAGTGCTGCCGCCTCGGGTCGGCCGCGTCGTGCAGCGCCACGCTTTGAAAAGGGAAACGTGCCTTCGGTGGACCGCGTCGCATCGCGGCGAGTCGCGGCGAGTCCACCGACACAACGCCCGCCTCAAAGGGCCCAGCCTGGCCCAACCTAACACAACATAACCTAGCCTAGCCTAACCTGGAGTGAGGCGTCTTCACGGAGACGCAGAGTCTCTGGAGACTCTTCGGCAAGCTCGCGAAGCTTCCAATGTTTAACAGTGCCGACGTCTCTCTTCTCATCGACCCGATTGTGGTTCACGGTAATGGTTCGGGGCCTGGGATTCGTTACAAGGGAGGTCCACGGGGCCTACAGAGAAGCGCAAGCCGTAAAGAAGGCAGTCTGGCCGCGGAGCGCGCGACCCGACAGGGCGCGGCGCGGCTCGGCACGGCGCGGTCCGGCCGGCGAATGAAAATGACAGCATTGCTCTTAATGACGGGTGATTTCAGATAAAAGAACGCCACGATGAGTCGCTGACCTCTGCTCGGCACCGTATCTGCGCATTGTGGGCACTCACTGCAGCCAGCGCCGGCGGGACGACTCCACGCTGTTCGCTCCGTCTCTCTCGCTCCAGGGCGGCGCCACCTGCGGGTGCGAGAGAGACAGAGCGACGCCTGTGGTTCGGAATCGGGCCGCGGCGCTGCAGGGCGTCCGCCATGGTCTGCCATAACGCAACGCGACCTAACCTGCATGCCTGCCTCCCAGGGCCACGGGCCGCCACGGGCCGCCAGGCGGACTTTCTTCTAACGATGTCAGTCCCAGGCAGAAGAATTGACCCGTCATTTCGTTCCCCCGCGTTGGAGGATCTCTAGAATTACTTGGAACGGGGGACGCACCGAAGGGATCGTAAATTTTGAGGACGAGAGCGAGAGAAAGGATGTAGAGGAGACTTTGATAGGAAGATGGGTGGCGTAAGGGTGGGTCGAAAGGGTCAGCCCCTTACCCTTTAAGGGAATGATAAATAAGTTCTGTAAAGTTTTTCTTTTTTCTCATTTTTTTTAGCAGATGGTACCTTCACACTTGAAACATACTTAAAACTACTATACACATGAAGGTGTCAGCGTGCTTTTACTCTCGAGTCCAGAAACGAAGCGCGTATCCTAAACAATATGCCGGGGCTGGCTGCCGGGGCGGGCTGGTGCGTGTGGCTGGCTGGCTGGCAATGAGGCGCATCCTGCGCGGAATTCGACAATCCCTCCTCGGTACAGCGCCAGCGGCACCGGGCCTAAACAATGGCACCCCCTCCTCGCTCGCGACGGCCTGCCACGGCCTGCGCGCAACATTGACAATCCCTCCCCGCCTGCCGCGGCGCGGAATATCGCGCAACAATGCCTCCCGATTCGGCCCGGCCCGGGGCCGGGGCACTCGGGCCAGCTCGGGCTCGGCGGCGGGCGCTGCAGGCCACAGCTCGGCACGGCTAGTACCAAAGTACCTTGTTTCATACACAATTTTAATTACTATCTTTGGAATGAGCCCGCATACTACCCCGTATAAGGAAACCGAACGAGTATTGACTGAGAAATTTGAAAGGGAAAAGAAAAAAATTTGAACTCTACACCCCCTCCCCAGTCTTAATGGGGAGGCCTCCTGCTTTACTTCGGTGTTCGGGATGGGAACCGGTGCTATCAGGTACCTGGGGTTAATCCCGTCAGCGACCCAAGCGTTCGCCGGGGGACCCAGTAGGACCCCAAAGCTCAGGCAGCTGGGTGAGAGCACCCAGTACGAAGCTCTTTGAGGGGCGGGACGTAGAGTGAGACGACAGAGAGACAGAGAGAGACTCAGACAGAGAAGAGGTTTGGTGGGAGCTTCTTGTTTTCGTAGGGTTGGTTGTGTACCCCATGGTACCCCCACTGTCCGGCGCTCCCGTACCGAACATACAGCGTTTTAGGCCAGCTTCAAAGGACTTATCATCGCCTCCCCGACGAGTCAAGGAGGCACCACCCGCAACCACACACCGGATGGTCTGGATTGATGGATCAAATACTCCATCGCTCCAGTGCCGAGGCCAACCCGCCGAAGCGGATTGCTTTTTAGACACCCACAGCGGAGTGGCCAGGTGAATGTGACTCTGACCACTACGCTATCACGCTTGTACGTCTGGCAGCGTGTTGGACGACGGGTTTGAGTTGCACTGGGAGGAAGGCGGTCGAAAAATGTAATGAAATGATGGGATTCGATCCCCGGACTCCGCCACCGGGATCACACGACTTTACGCTCTCGGCCACCACAGCCCACGATGAGGGGACCGGCGTGAGGTGGGTTCTTGACGCAACAGGACTCGACCGATCCGGTCAAAATTTCGCAAGAAGTTGGGGGAGTCGAACCGCCGACCCTAGCATTGGGAACCGACGCCTCTACTCCCTGGACCACCACGTCCCATGCAAGGAGTGGGCTCACGTTCACGGGTTTCAACCGCACTGGGTGAGGCAGTAAAATTAAATGGAAATATTTGTTAGGAGTCGAACCTCCGGCATGTGGGTCTGTTGCACACGGCTCCTCTCGGATGGCCTCGAACCACCACCCTTAGGATAGTAACGAAAAAACGTATGTGACGCTGGTATTCGAACCCCCGCCTGCGGTAACTTGATCCCACGTCTCTAACCTCTCGGCTATCACAGCAGTTGTGCAACGCGACGGATCATCTGCTTTCATTAACGTTCGTTGAATGAGATTTTTTTTCAAATTCATCATGTAACCAAACCTAACCTTACCTAACCTAACTTGAGAAGGTGACTCCGGCACTGCCTTCTCGCCCCGCTCTTTCAACATTCCGCGCAGCGCTTGCCCGCTCCACTGGGTGTGAGCAGATGGACGACTAATGAGCTCCGTTTTTGAATGAGTGCCGCGCAATCCTTTGGGCTTCGCCGAATGAAACACGCCGTTCTGCGCGGTGCGGTGCGGCGCGGCGCCCCAAATGCGGAAGTCTCCGGTGTGTGCGCGGTGCGCGGTGCGGCCCGAATTCTAGCAGCGGCCCACTGAGGGCTCTCTGGGCTCGGCCGGCCCGGCGAGGTTATTGTGTGAACACTGCCATTGCCGCACAGCGCTCGCTTCTCGCGACCGGCCATTTCGTCGGGGAGTTCTCGCGCCGAAAAGCCACCCGGTTTCGAAGTGTTCGTAAAAAAAGAAAACAACAACGGAAAGGGAAAGGAATATTGTTATCCGACCGCGCAGTTTTGCGGGGATTCGCACGGCAGAGTGGTTCGAGGGTTCGAGTCCCCGCGCCGGCAGATAGCCATCCGAAAAGCGAACTCGCGTTTACATGCAGTGGCCCCCTCGCCTGTTTCGGTCCTGATTGTTAATGAGAGTTTATACGACTTCCGCGATTTTCATAAATGACTCCCTGAGTTTTTATTAAAGAAATATATGTAAAAACATGTGGCGAAAGTTCTGAGAGGCTTCCGCCTGTCGGTAAGCAATTGATGCGGAGATTGAAAGGCGGGAACAGTTTGCGTTCCGCACCGCTTTGGAACCGCCTGCCATCGGAGGGATAGGCAGCCCAACTTACTTGCGGGCTCGCTTGGGCGGCCCCAGGACGCCGTCGGTTGGGCTGCCCACCGACCATGCTGCTTCGCCGTGGAGGTCGGCAACCCATTCGCCGCGTCGACTCGAAGAGTTGCAAAGCACCCGGCGAATGGCACACTGCGCGCAGTCGGGCATTCCCGTGGCGGTCCATGCACTCGCGAAGGTTTCCAAACAAAGGTGTCGCGGGAGAGATGCTGGAGCCTCCGCCGCTGTCGCCTACATTGCGAAATGACATTGTCCCGCCGAAGGCTGTGGCGGTGCCATCTTCCATGGCTGATTCCGAACCCGCGCTCTGTCTCTCTCGCACTCGCACCGCGTGCCGTCTGGGTGCGAGAGAGACAGAGCGACCGCTGGGAACCAGTCCGCTGCGGTGAGGCATGGCGCCGGTGAAAGGAAAAATGTCAAAGTCCTTCTCCGCGAGGCGAGGCGCGGCGAGGCGAGGTCTGATCCGATAGCTCTTCTCCTCGCATCGCGTCGAATATTGGAGGAGCCGGCCGAGGTGTCGCAACACACGTCCCGATGCGCCACCTCGGCTCCATTCTCGATTTGGCCGAGGCTGCGCCAACGCGCGACGAGGGTTCGATTCCCGGCGGCGGCGACTGCCAATTCCCTTTTTGTCAGAGAATACTTGAGGCCACTGACTTAGTGTTAATATGTCCTCACTCTCCGCCAAAATAATCCGCGCGTTGTTCTGCTAATCCGGGCGTGCCTTGCGACGCCGGCGGTAAACGCCGCGGGGCAGGAGGGGACGGGAAGGGGAGAGGCGACTACTGGACGTCTTCCTCTGTGAAGCAATAACTGCTCAGCTTCTCCTATTTGGCGATTGGGAAAGGAGACCGACCGCTCGGCGGGCCGCCGGCTGGACGCCCTAGTCGCTGGCGGCTGGAGCGGCTGCAGTCTGGCGCCCCTAGGCGGGCTCGCCGTCCTCCAGGAGGCTAGTGGAATGGGCCGAAGACTGGCCGAGACAGTCAAACACTGTCAAACCGCGACCAAGGCAAATCATTTCGACAGTGTGCCAAGTGACGCCAGGACCGTGGACAAGTCGCTGATTGTTACAGCGGGTGGCTGCGGAGGGAGAGGGTTCAGAAAAAAAAAAACGTCAGAAAACGAATTCAGTGACACCATAAATTCATAGTCTTTAATTTCATCTTTCTCCTTTCTTTTCGAATGTTGCGGCACAGGGTGAAGAATTGTGTTGGTTAATTTACAATGAGCGCTGATGCGAACGAGGTATGAACATGGTAATCAAAGAGTCAAGAGTCAATGGGATTCTGCAAGTACAATTACTTACGTACACGCTTTATCAGTCACACTTACACTACTCAACAATTTTTCAGAATCAGGCATACAATATTCGCGAAAAGCGCGCGCACACACACATGCACACAGGCCTATCACACACAGACACATCCAGACACACGTACACAATTACAGTATTTATGAGCAAAATTATATGTACATGCCTATTTATAAAATTACAATAAAAATACAAACTAAATTTACGTTCTCTTAGGACTACGAACGTTTATAAAACATACATACAAAAAGACATTAAATTTTCACAAACAGGACAGATCTCGAAACTTGCGAGAACCAAGGCCACGGCGGGGGTGGCAGTTTTGGACCTAGAAATCTCTTTCATGAACGGTATATTGGGCCAGCCAAAGAGCAGCGGTGTGCTCTTTAACGACGTGACTTGGTATTGGCACTTTATGAAAGACGGGAAGCCTCGCGTCGTTCTAGCGTGTTTCATAAACAAGCGCTATTCAAACGCGTGGCTTCATCTGATTTCTACACTAGAAACTAACAGCAAAATCGATAAACGCCAACATGGCAAATAATTAGTGCAGATTTTTTTAAAAAACAAATCAAACTTTGTACTGAAGAAGACGAATTGCCCTAAATTTTGATTATTTACGAAATAACGCTAAAAGAAGCATTTGAACTCGCATACTTTTAAATGTTAAAACTATGCAAAGTCGATTTTCACAGTCAGTAAACCTTCCTCGAGATTTTGACACACACACTCCGCATTTTTTCAGTCAGCATAATGGGGCGTGTTCACATCGAAAAGCGGAGTTCCTCCTCCCATCAACACTACTGAAAGGTATTCATCTCAGCAAATGACTTTCGAAATATTTTTTCAAAACGTTGCCAGCTTGACGGGGTCGTCCCAACGTCAACAGGGCACTGTTTTAAGGAAGTATTTCGCTCGGTTCGGCTAGGACGTCGGCAAGTGGGGGGTGTGGTCTACCTGCGGCGCACCAGGCCGGCGTTCTTGAGCAGCTTGAAGACCTGCTCCCTGGGGATCTTCTCGGCCTCGCGGTCCAGGACCTGCTCCTCGCCGGGCGTGAACCAGGACTCCTTGGCCAGGCCCTCGGCGATGCGCGGGTTCTTGTAGAAGTTGTTGCGCAGCTCGTCGGGCAGGCGCGCCTCCTCCTCGGCGTTCCTCACCACGGAGTGGTGGGCCAGCGGCTGCTGCTGCTGCATCTGGCGGAGCATGGGCAGCGGCTGCAGCGCCTGGGCCTGCGGCAAGGCCTGCGGCGAGCAGGCAAGCGGATCAGTCACGACACTGTTTTGCCATCCCGCGCAAACGGCTCCAAATGACAGTGTAGTTTCGGAGCAGCAGGACGCTCATACCAAAGCACACTGTCAAAAATTATTCCCCCCCCCCATTTCACAGTTTTTTACTCGATGCCCTACCTGGACGAAGGCGGGGGCGACGGGCTGGGCCGAGAAGCTGGCAAAGCCTCCCTGGTGCAGCGGCGGCGGCTGCAGGGCCACGGACGGGTCGGAGGACACCTGCAGGAACTGGGCGTGCGCCACTCCGAGCAGGAGGGCGCCGACGAGCAGCTGGGCGGCAGACATGGTGGCTCTGCGAAGGACACGGTTGCAGTTGTCATTTATTTCAAAAAGTTGTTAGAAAACGCCTGCCGTCGGCGGGGTAGGCAGACCCGCCGAACACCGCTGCTCGACAGCACAGCCTACCTCCCAGGCGCCTGACGGAGGCGGGGTAGGCAGGCCCGCCGAACACCGCTGCTCGACAGCACAGTCTGCCTCCCATTACCATTACCATTAAGGGCTAGACCACATGCGCCTGGCGGCGCGCGGAGAAGCCTCAAACCGTTGTTGTTTGTCAACAACCATGATTGGCGGTTTTTTCCGCGGTGTAAGTCGGGCAGGAGCGCGACCCGACTGGACGGCGAGCCGTCCCCTCTCCCCGGCGTGCCCCGGCGTGCCCCGGCGTGCCCCGGCGGGAACCTTTGCCCGGTCAGCGAGCCCGATGCGCGGCTGGCTCCCTGCGACACCTGTCGGCGGGCAGCGCGTCGGCGGGCACCGCGTCGGCGGGTACCGCGTCGGTACCGCCTCCCCCTCCCCTGCATTCCAGCATTCCGCAACGCCTCGCCTCGCCGTGCCGCCTTGCGTGCGGCGCATCCGCCTGCAGCTAGATTCGGCAACGCTCTGTCTCTCTCGCACCCCGACGGGACGGCCCAGGCGTGCGAGAGAGACGCGCGCCTCTTCGCACTCGGTCCGCCGGCTGGCGTCGGTGTCAGAGGCCGACGCGGCGCGACGCGGCGCGACCGGCGCCCTTAACGCCACGGTGCCTGGGTCCACGAAAGAGAGAGAGAGCGAAAGAGCAAACCGACAAGTGCCATTACTCTGTGACTCTGTGACGAACCGCACTCAGGGCCGGGCGGCGGCAGGGCGGTCGGGATGCAGAGGGTCGCAGGACGAGCCAGCCAGGGCGACGACGCGCCGAAACACAGACGGGTGGCTAGTTACTCCTCGTGGTGTGTGTGTGAGTGTGTTTGTTTTGCTCTGCGCATCACTGCGTTGCACCGTCATGGGGGCTCCCTAAAACGTGCTGAGTCAGCAAGCCGGCAAGGCATGGCAAGGTGCAGCCTGCGGGGCACCTTGGACACTTGCCACACGCACGCTTGCACACTCACACACACGCGCACACACAATCACACACACACACACACACTTAGGCTCGCCCGACGGGGCTGGAGCGGGGTCATAATGCAGCCACTTAGTCCGTCTCATCGAGGGGGTCTCTGTTTAGCGGCAAAACCAGCCTCTTCCTGGGGGAATTTCTTTACCCGGCGACATGCAGCGGGCCGCGGTTGCGCGTCATGCGCGCGCGCGCGCGCGCGCGTGTGTGTGTGTGTGTGTGTGTGTGTGTGTGTGCGTGTCCGTGAGTCATTATCACGTTTACTCGCTTAAGGAGCCATCCGCTCGACGCAGTGACGCAATGTATTACGTTTGAACGGTCTTAACGCTCACACACGACCCGCCAACACAGACAAACACACACGTGTGCACACACGCACCACACACACACAGACCGTTCGTCAAGGCCGACCGGCTTTTCGAACATGGATTGATCGAACGTTACGCCACGCGTCCGTGCACCTAGCCCTGCGTACTGCGTGCGTTGGGCAGTTTGGAAATCGGGGGAGTCCTTTTGCCCGAAACGGGACCGAAGCCGGTGCCGATGCGATTCCGTAGAGCCGAGCAGGTCGGTGAAGCAGCCTGCCAGGTCTGCCAGCAGGCGCGCTGTTTCGAGCGGTTCAAGCCGCCGGCGCCGAAGTCTCGAGAACGTGAACGACGCGAAGGCGACCGCGACCGGCCGGGCAGGGTGCCGTCGGTAGCCGCTGCGCCGCTCCGCCGCAACCCGACGAAAAGAGCGACGGAGACAGAAACAGAGACGCCGCCGCTAGCGCTGCACGACGCGATGCGTGAGTGGGAGTGGGACGGAGTGGGACAAGCAGTGCTTTGGCTGCGTTTTGGCCGGGCCGGCCAGGCTCGCAGGCCGGCGTGGAGTCTGTGGAGGGGTCCTGGCCGCCCTGGACGCCCTGGTCGAGCCGGGGCCGAACCGGCACGTTACACGGCGTGGCGTGGCACGGCGTGGCGTGCTGTAACCAGAGAAAGCGCGGAGGCACGGCACGGCACGGTGCGGCACGGCAGGTCAGGAAGCTCTAGCCTCACCTCACACACTCCGCCAGTCCGCGGTGAACCTTGAGAACCTTGAGGGCCAAGAGGCAGAATGCGGCCGCCGCGGCGACTCCAAGAGTGTCCCCACCGTCCCCGCCGTCCGCGCCGTCCCCGCCGAGCACGGCCATTTCGAAGGACGGAAAGGAGACCAAGGTCACCGGGACCAGGGCCGCGCGGCCTGCCCCGCCCCGCCCCACCCCGCCGCGCCCTGACTCGCCCCGCCCCCCGCCCCGCCCCCCGCCGTGACGCGGCACGCCGTCGAACTGTCCACCCCTCGTTTAGCCGTCGGCGCCACGGCGCAAGCCACCGCGTTTTGCGGCTCGTCGACGCAACCCTGGCGTGCCCTGGCGACGCGGCGATGACGCTCTCGTTGTCCACCCCGGCCTTAATTGTGCCGCCGAGGCAGCCGCCGTTTTGCAGACGGAGGGCCGCGACGGCCGGGGGCAGCTTCCGCCCCGCCCCGCCCCGCCCCGCCCCGCCCCGCCACGCTGGTCAGGCCCGGCGGGCACGCGAGCGACTTACAAAACAGCTGGAAACCACGCTGCCGCGCCGCTCCCTGAATGGCACATGCAAAGCGCCAAAACAAGTGCCTGACGCGGACCGGGCGGACTGATTCCGAGGCGTCGCTCGCCAAGAACTCGAGGACATTTTTAAAAGTGCAATAACACAGTTTTAAAACAAAACAAAAACAGTTTTCCATTGTTAATTTTTTTAAATTTTAGAATGAATTAGTATCTGCCGCTTCCTGGCGATGACTCATTCCCGCGCCTCCCATGGGGCCCTGGAGCCCCGCACCCCCACGGGGGGCCATGGGGATTCTCATGGCCACAGTCTAACGAAAAGCCAGCGGCAAAAACAGGCGAAGTTTGGCGGGAGGGGGAGGGGGGTTGAGTAGTACGGCTACCTTGTTGATGCCAGAGAAACGGGTACCCGGTACCCGGTTAAGTAACAACTCGTCCTCGGCGCGGGTCGGTGGGTCGGGCGCGGGGTGCTGCAGGCTGGAGGGGTGGAGGGGGGAGCCCAGCTCCAATGCACCCCTCGCCGTACTCCCGGTGCATCCTTCGCCTTGGCGATCACCGATATCAGCGTGCCAAAGGAAAAAACTAAACTGAAATCCCGTAGTTTTTCTCGTCAACGTTTTCAAACGAACTGGGCAAAAAATGCAGTCTCGCCAGTGGGCGCGCACTGGGCACGCGCGCACTCACACTAACACGGCACTCGCGGCTAAGCACCGCACGTCCTTGGCGGGCATCCTCAGGAAGGCGCGCGTCGTTTTCGTGGCGTTAAGGCTAACCGCAGGGATTGCCGTTTGCAGACGTGCTCTCTCAACTGTTTAACCTCAAAAACCGAACAAAAATCCTTGGCGGCGCCTTAAGATGACCAGAAAATGGATCCGTTTCAATCACGAGGGAAATGGCCACAACTGCACACCGCACGCAAAAGAATATGAAATTGAGGCACACCATAAAAACAATAATCCCCTCTCATTACTAGGCGATGCCTCCAAATATTTTAGTGCCCGTTAGCTCTGGTGCGAAATTCTCAGCCATCCCAGTTGCACCACGCCTCGAAACTTGAAACGACTGCGCAATCTTTTCCTCATCACAGTAAGGCTGTGGTCCACGGCAGAATGTCCACAGAGGTTTCCCGTTTTGGGGTCGAGAATCACTTCCACGATCGCGAAGCACTTTGCACTGGGTGATGATGATGGTGAAGTGATGGGGATGAAAATGATGCAATGGTGACGATGTAAGATTTGGCGGCGATGAGTGATGGTGAACTGCACTGGCTCTTCACTGCACTGGTGATGCACACTGGCACTGTGTCGGCACCACAGCCGCACGCACACACACTCACACACTGGAAGGCGGGCGGGCTACCCTGTGGACCTGCTCCTCCACTTACTGGGCACTAAACACGGAGGGCACTGGCGGAGTAATCCTCGATCACTTTCGGTTTCGACGGCGCGGCGCGGCTCGGCTCGGCTCGGCGGCGGGATTCAATCTGGTGCGGGTCTGGAGGGGACGCTTCACTTTTATATGCAGGGCCGCGTGGCGCGTGGCCGTGCCCGCGCTCAATGTCAACCGTGTGATACAGGCTGGCTGGGCCGGGCGGGCCGGGCTGCGGCGTCTGCGTCTCCGCGAAGGAGGGGGTGGGGAGCTGGAGGGGGCGAAGGATAGTTTCCACGAACGCGTCGTGAACCCGGCCGGCCGGGGCGCAGGGCGGGGCGGGGCGGGGCGGGCGGGCGTGGCGGCGGAAGGGGTGCCTGCCGGCCCCTGCCGGCCAATGACGGGGGAGCACCGCGTCGTCGTCCCGGCGAAAATAAAAGCGAAGGACCTTGTGCGGAGGCGGTGCAGGGATCGCCGCCTTGTGCTTGGCTGGCTTGGCGTGCCTCGCCGTGCCTTGCCCGCTGTCAAGGCCGCGCGAGGCAATGCCCCCGTGGGCCAACGCCCTGCCCCGCCCCGCCACGCCCTGCCCCAACGGCTGTCTCACTCCAATTGGCGTCGCGTCGCGCTCTCCGTCCCGCTCGCACGTCGCAGCGCGTCGCCCAGGACGGCGCCGGCCGGCTGCACGCGGCTGCACGTCGACACTGCGACTCACTAGCACCGAGACACCGAGACGCGCGTCCTTGCAGAGCGCACCGCCGCGTCGCGTCGCGTCGCCTTCCGTGTCCGTCCTCCTCGTCCCCCAGGCGGCCTGGTAGGGGCCCTGCTTCACCTCCTCCTCGCCTCCGGGTCCGGCGGGTCCGGCGGGGCGCGCGGCAGGCCGGGCTGCAGCTCGCCGTCTTTGCGAGTAGACTGGCTGCGCGGGCTGCGCGGCGCCGGTCGCTGGGCTTGGCGCGCCCCGGCGCCCGCCCCGCCCGCCCCCCCGCCCCGCCCCGCCCCCCGCGAAGCCCCCCTCCGCGGCGAGACGGCGGGGCGGGGGCGGCCTCCTCCACCACCACGTGGTCGGCGTTGTCGGGGCGCGTCCCGTGGCCGCGGGGCGGTCCGGCCAGCGTGGCGCCACTGCCGTTGTCATCATCATCACCATCATCATCATCGACGCTGTTTAGACCATGTCATGGGTCCATAAAAGAAGCGCATTAAAAGTGGACCTGCAAGGGTTAGTCTCGCCTCCCCGCTCCCAGCCCACAGCCCGCCCCGCGGCGTGTTGATGTGGAGGTAATGTCCATGTTCCAGCTCCAGCCGGCCTGACGCAGGCTGGTTCCGCGCAGCGTTTCGGCGCCCTGCCTGTCTCACTCGCACACTTACGGAACTCCGCACAAGTGCGAGAGGGACGAAGGCGCCGTTCAAACTGCACGGACACCCGCAAATGTGTCGTTAAATGTAAGCTTGCGGCCACTGCCGCCGGTTTTCTAGGAAGTCGTTTCTCGCCCACTCCATCGCCCCACCGCGCATTCGCATTCGCATTTCGCTGCGTATTCCCTTTGCTTTGCTTCGCTCTGCCGCTCCACTGTCAAAGCGCGGCAAGGACATGACGGCTTGCCTGGGCACTGTAAACATGGCAAGCCAAGAGCCCCGTCCGGCCGCTGGAAAAAGGAGCAGCATCGCCCTGCACCTCGGCCCAGCCGACTCGCTCTGTCTCCCTCGCACTCGCGGGGAAGTCCTCGGGGGAGAGACGGCTGGCGGCCTGTCCCCCGCGTTCAAGTCTCCTGTGGCTTCTTGTTCCTGAGACAAAGCCATCGGAAACGCGCTGACGGGGGCACGGGACGGCCCGGCCCCGGAATCGAAGCCTCCCCCCTCCCCCTTCCGCCTCCAGGCCGCTCCAGACCCATTACCCCTCCCCCTTTCCCCAGTGGACCCTAATTTTAAAATGAGCTCATCGTTCGGCTGCTCCTGCTGCTGCCGCGCCACTGGCGCGCCCAGATCGGCGTCGTCTGTCTTCCTGCGGACTTCCTGGTGCAAAGAACAGCCGCCTCCTCCGCGAAGTGTTCCACCTGCGTCCTGCACACACACGCACACAGGCGCACAGCCGCACATGCGCGCACACACACACACTAACACAGTGCCCGGTCAACACCCCGGCGACCTTGCTGTTCCCGTCCTGGCCCCACACTGCTATCGCGAGCGCGCAATCGACGCGGTGTATTGCCCTATGTATCGGAAGACAACAACGGCGAACAACCACAGCCTCCTCCGCGACGACGACAACAACAACACGAGTTCGAATTTTGCCGCGCGGTTCACTTCCTCCTTATTAGCGCTGCCGTTTCCGGCCGTGGCGTGACGCCACCACACTGGAAGCAAGCCTGCCGCTTTGCGTGCCGCGTGCAGTCCCACGCGTGTCAGTGTCCAAGTCAGAGACGGCCGTTTCAGACCCGGCGCCAAAGTCTCTCTGACGTTTCGGCGGACCTGTGGAAGCGGCGAGGCGGCCGATTGAAGCGTCCTGGCCGTCTTCGTCGTCATCGTCTTTGTTGACAGGTTGACCCGTTGACCGCGATCCGGGTCGACATGGCGGCGTGCGTCGCGCCGCGTGACGTCACGCCGTACTGACGCACGGCCGCTGCACACGCGCCCTGCAATTTCCCATACTGCCTACTTTTATTTTTTTTTTTCAAAAAGAAGGAAAGGTTTAATCATTTGCCCCCGCAGCTATATCTAACAAGAGCTGGTGACGTTCGTCGTGGTCCTCGCCTGGTCGACGCCTCCACTCGATCCGCTGGCACCTCCACGTCACACAGTGACCCTTGGGCTTCCCCGGTGACGTCGCCGACGCGGGTGCACCAGCGGTCGGGGAAAACGACTGACGGGCGATACGCATGTGGACGACAACAAGGTCCCCGCCGGCGAGGAGAAAGCGACAGGCCAGCCGCGGGATGTGCAGGACCTGGTGCACCACCGCGGGCCGCGCCGGGCCGCGCCGGGTCGTCTGCGGCTTTGGACGCGCAGTGAGCCACTCCGCCGGGCCGCCACAAGGACGCCCATTTAACGGGACAAACGCTGGGGCACTAATAGAGTCCTCTAAAAAAAAATTATCAAAGTTGCTGTTTTAAAATTTATTTTTGTTTTGGATGGTAGGTATCATACGGCGCTCTTTTCTGCCAGCTTTTCCGCCTGCCTTCCCATTGATCACAGCCCTGCCTGCGACTGGGTGCAATTAGCCTGTTAGCGTGTTGCCGAGTCATCGTCTGCCGCTGGCTGCCGCTGGCTACCGTTGGCGGGCCCGCAGCCTCATTCCGAGAGGCTCCATCCCTCTCGCACCTGCACGGCACGGGACACCCCATGAGTGCGGGAGAGAGGCAGGGCGACGAAAACGACTCTCGGAATCAGTCTGGTGGCTCCTGCCGTCGGGCTGCTGGCGGGAGGGCGCGGCGAGGCCTCCGAGACGAGACCACCGCCTTCCAGGACGAGCACCGAGAGGTACTGAGAGGCACCGAGCAGCAAGAAGCGCCGCTTCACTCTGCCAATAATGACCTAACTTGGCGACCGAGCGGCTTTCCTCGGGGCGATTGTCCGTCCGAAAAGTCAGTGAGTGGAATGCACCTCCTTGTCGAGGCTGTTGGTGTCTAGGACGCAGCCCTGCCGGCCCTGCCGGCCCCGCCTTGGACGCCACTTGTCGTGGAGCACGCAACATGTGTCACTGTTGCTCTGCCGCTGGCACGCCTTGGGCTGGGTTGACCCAGTGAGCCGCCCCTAGAAGGAAAGCCTAGAAGGGTCCGCGATCCGCCGAGCAACCTAACTCCCTTTTATTTTAGTTTTTTTTTTTTGCAGGTTGCCGAGGTCCGTCCTGGCCCGTGGTGCGACGCGGCGTGCCAAAGACCGTGCCGCTGCCAAAGCTCCCCCGCACACACACACACACACACACACACACACACACACACACGCACACAAACACACCTCCGGCAGACGTAGACGCAGCCGTAGACAAAGTTGCACAACGTGGGACGTGTCGTGCGGGCTGGTGTCTGTCTCTCTCGCACCCTTGGGGGACACCGCCAGAGTGCGAGAGAGACAGAGAGGAGCTGGCGTTGCCCGGTGCCTCGCCGTGCGAGTAGTGCCTCCGCGCTTCGCTGTTGGCAGAGTAGGCACAGGATTCACAGCGTGCGAAGACTACTGGAATCGTGTGTGAGTGTGTTTGTGTGTGTCTGTGTGCGTGTGTCTGTGTGTGTGTGTGTGTAGGCGTGTGTGTGTGTGTGTGTGTGTGTGTGTGTGTGTGTCGCTTGGCAGGCCACTCCAGGCTAGGCTAGCCGCAGACAGATGCGCTCTTCCTCGGCCCCTCGCCCCCCCCCCCCTCCCCGGCTCGCCAATGAGGCGAAGGTATGCGGGAAGGCTGCAAGTTTTCTGCAGCAGAAGGACACGCCTGTTATGTGTCACCGGCTAGGCTCCGCCAGGCCCCGGCAGGCCCCGGCAGCCGCGGCGTCGTCTCCCCTTGTCTCTCCTCGCCATCGTCGGCGGCCGAAGACGCCAACACGCTGACAAGGACAGAAGAAGAGGCGCCATTTCCATAAAGAGCTGGCTCTGGCTGCGACACGCGACAACGGCCGGAGGCCCTGTCGAAGTTTCGCACGGCCAGGCGAGAGTTTCGCTTGACCTGCTGGCGCGAATGAATGGAACTGAGACAGGAGTGGATCGGATCCGAGCTCAGTCGAAGTCGCCTGCGGTTGCCTACTCGCAGGGGCGTCAAGAGAATTTCGTTTGGCCGCCTCTGGGGGCGTTGGCGGTCTCCTTGAGAGAGGCCGATGCGTGCGAGAATGCCGCGAGGGGTCCTTGCCGCGGGCCGAGTCCGACAGTGTCGCCGCGTCGCCGCAGAGGCCGCGTGGACCTCGACGTGGTCCTCGACGTGGACCGACCTCGGACGCAGCCAGTCGAATTGGCATGCTAAGTACGCGCCCACCCCGCGCGGGGCCTAGGGGGCCAATGGGGCAGGCGGTGGGGCCTGCCCGCTTAGCGCCTCGCAAGCCGTTCGCAAAGCGTTCGCACGCACACTACACCGCCAAACGCACCGTGCGATTCGCTGTTACAATGTTTGCGTCATGCTGTCGAGTCTTTGACTCGTAAACACTCTTGACTCGCGGCAATTTTTCAGGATTTTCAGCAGCTCTAGCAGCGTCGCGGGCGTCGCGGGGTTGGCGGGGGAGGCGGCAGTGCACTGCGTTCTGCAGGCGCGATCCGGTTCTACCCGCTTCGCCTGCTTCGCCTTGCGCACTCGCTTGGAACCGAGTCGCGGCGGTCTTCTGTTGAAACCGGGTACTGGCGCACGGGCGTACGGCCACTGTGGACGCGTTGCCACGGTTACAGTGGCGCGTTTCGCGTCTCTTCCCGGCCGTTCGCACATTCGCTTCATTCCTAGCACTGCGCCTGCACCCTCCCCATTCAGGCGCCACCACGAAATGGAAAGGCCGCCGACGTAATCTATTTGGTAGCGCCGGCGAGCACTTTGCTCGGATGTTAAACAATAAACGCGGGGCAGACGTACGTAGCAGTGGCGCGGCGTGGTCCGGAAGAGCGTCTCGCAGTCCAGACCGTCCAGACGCAGGAAGAGCGGGAGGGGGAGGGGGAGGGGGCGGATGGTGAGGCAAGGTCGACCGGTGGCTCAACGCGCCGCGCGCCGCCATGGCGCCGCCGTGCTGCTCTACGGTGTAGTGCTGGTGCTACACGGCGTCGACGGGACGGAGATAGAAATTTCGAAAATGGGCTTCTGCCAGGTCCATCACCTGCCAGGCACGGATCGTGGCAGGCCCGGACCCGGTACCCCGTGTCGGAGACCGAATAGCCAGCCGTGGCACTCGGCGGCGGGTCGCGGGGTTCATGTCTCACCATGCACCGATTTCTTTCGGGATCCAAGTTCTCGGAGCAGCTTCAGGATGTACCCCTCGAGACAGAATAACCGGCTGCACGAGGCGCTCCGCTCAAACTTCCCTTCCTGCAGCCTGCTTTCGTTTCGGGTGCGGTTTGAACATGAAACGGGTAACGCGACAGGTTTTCTTGTAAAGATATGCAGGAATCTGGAAGCAGTGGCCGCTGCTCTGCTCGACTGGCACATCGATTGGTCGATTCGATTAGTCGATTAGTCGCCTTTGGCTGCCTTTGGCCTCGTTCGCGGGCCGAGTGGCCGAGTGGGCCACACGCCGCGCTCCGCGGCACACAAACCGACTTCGGACGGCCTGTGTGATGCGATTCCACGATTCCACGCAGCGCCTCGTCGCTATGCCTCTCTCACGCCCCTTCCAGGCGCCCCACGAGTGCGAGCGAGACAGCACCATTCCTTCCAAGTCGGGTGGTGGCTCAATCAATGAGCACCGATCTATTCGCAAACAACGGCGCGGCTGCAACTCGCAGCCAACTCCCTCCGCAGAGGGCAGAGGGCCCTAGCAGAGGGCCTTAACGCGTTATCGCTGGAGGGCGGAGGGGAAGGGGTAGTTACATCACTGGTCTCTAGAGCGCGCCACTCGGCTCGGCACGGCCAGGGCATGGCGCGGCGCTTCCGAGTGGAGTGGCCGCATTGCCGCATTCACAAACCAGTTTGCAGCCCATCTCCATGGACCTGCAGCCACCGGCACGGCACCGGCACGGCACCGCGCACCGCGTCTCCTCCACTGGAGATACTCCACGAGTCCAGCAAGGGGAGGCCTGGCCGAAAAAGTGAACAGGATTGGTAAAACGTAGGGGCCGCGGCGAACGGACAGACGGACATGCAGACAGGCAGACAGACAGGTCTCCTCGCTGGCCTGCTGGCGCCTGATTGATAAATTATCGGTCCCGGTAAGTGGACCCGCCCGGTGCCGCACCTGTCGGCCCGTCGGTCGGTCCGACTTGGCCGCGGGGGAGGCACACTGCACAGCACTGCGTGGGGAAGTCCCGGCCTCGGCCGCCTCGGCGCGCACCCTGGAATGGAATGGCTCTATTCGCGGCGTGTACGCCCGTTTTCTTCCTGGACAGCCTGGCGCCCTTGTTGGCGTGAAGGCGTCCTGTCGGGCGTCGTTGTCGACGCGCCGGGCGTTCGGCGTTCGGCTTTCGGGCCGCGCTTACGCCTTCCTCGTCCGTAATGCGCTGTAATGATAATGCTGCCGACCGTTCCTTTGTTTTCGTTTTCCTTCGCGCGGCGCCCGGCGGGCCCGGCGGCAGGCCCAGCAGGGGGCGTCGTCGGCGAGGTGGGCGTGGCGGCGTGGCGGCGGCCACCCGGACGTCCGGATCGACTCCAATCACTCACTCAATCCGGATCGTTCCGAAGCACCGCCACGACCTGCCACGCGCATCGCCCCTCCTCCTCTCCGACGTCGCCGACACGCGCTGCAAGCCCATTGGTTGACGGCCTGGCGGGTGAACTTGAACCGCGGGCCTGCCGCGGAGGCGAGCTGGACCGCGCATCGGCCGTCTCTGCCGCTCCCAATGGCCGCGGACGAGGCGCGAGCGAGATAGCGAGACAGCGCAGCCTCTGAGGGCATTGCCACGGCAACGCCATTGCCCCGCCAATGTCAACGTCAACGTGCAGCGCGGCACGGAGTCCGAGGCAGAGAGCGCGACGACGCCGAGGAGGTAGGCAACTCATCGCACGCCTCGCCAAGGACTTCCCTGGGCAATAGTATAAAACCCCTCTACTCGTCTGCTCGCATCAGCAGTGTCGGCCGCGTACTTGTAGGTGTCAGGTCACGCCTGTGGAGTCTGGCAATCGACTCCAGTTCATTTCATATGTATCTTTTTCCGACCACAGGGGGTCTTCACTTCACCGGTCTTCACTACCGTCTGGAAGGGAGCGAGGGCCCCCCGGTTTCCTTCTTACTTTTGTCAGTGTTTTTGTTGGGATTTTTGTTGGAGAAAAAGAAAACAAAATTAAATTTTTGAGACATTTATTGAACATACAGGACAGATAACTGAGGCAAGATTACCTACAGTATGCATAACTACAAATATCAACATGCGCGGCCGCATACACAGTCCACGTGCAATCCCCATTATCACAATAAAAATTATCACTCAAAAACTGGTAATTGTAAAAGCTAGGAGTAGCTCTTACTTGTATACAGTAAAATAAAGTCTAGTGAGGTACGCTGTAAATAATATGTAATTGGCCACTGATTTTTTTTTCTTTTACACATAATTGTACCTTGTTTGATGAAGGAATACAGTAATTAAAAGAAAAAGGGGTAAAGGGTAATCTCCAATATCATTTTTGACTATGGTAACATTTCACAGATATAATAAATGCTAAAGTATTCTTAAATAACAGGTTACTCTTAAATACACATTTACAAGAGAGCTACAAGATAATCACGCTCTTATGCACAACGTTCATTCTCCCCTCCCACACTGTAGTCAGTCTGTCGGTCATCACAGATCCGCTTAATTTGATTAAAGATACACGTCAACACATGTTGACAGAAATTGATTCGCAATCCTAATACTTTTCTTCTACAAGTAATTCCTATCTTCATCAAGCATAAAATATTGTTGCCAATAGTTAAAACACAATAAAATGTAAATCTAGGCAACACTCCAATCTCCTAAGCGAACCGTGAGGATTCCTTAATGGTTTCAAAACTGGTTCAAGAGAGTTTTAGAGCAACAATATGCAAAATATGTACATAATTAAAAATTAGCATAAAGTACAAGAAAGAGACATGTCTGAACCACATATTAGGCAATATGTGGAAGAGCCATGTTCAAATTCTTCCCTTATCTGTAAACCTTGCTTGATACAATGCTTTCAATACCTTTTATCATTCAGGTATAGGTGATATGGGCAAAACTTTGTACATAGAGAACAGTCACACTTTGCCAGTCATGACAAAATTGAACAAGGAATAAATAATAAAATCACTCTCCCTTTGCTAACTTAGCTCATTTCACTCCCTTTTTGGATGGCTCACTGGCAGCCCCAGTTTTGGCCGGAGGTGAATTGGAAGCTGTTGCTGCTGTCTTATCAATGTCAATTTGAACATCTTCAACAGGTTCTCGCCAAAACACAAAACTTGTGTAGTCTTCTGAGGTGTCTTCAATGCGAGCTGGGAACATCTGGTCCACAATACAGCTCATATTCAGGTAACTACAAAAAAAAGAGAGGATAGAAATTAGCTAACAAACAAAGAGGAAAACACAGACAAGAGGCAGACAATTTTGTACCCCCAAATAACGTAAACTCGTCATTCTAAAATTTGTTTTCAAGTCACCAAGAAGAGAATCGTAAACAACAGTGAACAATGATAAGATTTACCATTTTATTTGAGTCAATGAGCTTCTATAATTCATTACTTATCAAAACACTAACAAAAACATTCCTAAAAAATGGTTATAAGCTACAAAACAAAAGTGAAAATTTATAATAATAAATAAAGTGCAGGATAAAGTAAATCAAGCCACCACCAAGCATAAAGCAAATTATCTGCAAATGTCACAGGTGTAACATCACCAAGTTGTGCTGGAGTAGGGAGTGATAAAAATTGTGGAAAAATGGGATCACATTAAGACTGACGGAGGAGAAGGAAGATTAAACACAAAAATTATTGTTTGCAGTCAGGATAACCTAAGGAAAAACTTTAAGGATGGTATATTGAGTGTTAAGAGTGAAGCAGAATGAAGCACAAACATAGAAGAAGTTGATCAAAGCATCGCCGCCCACACCATAAACTATACTTGACACTAACACCTGTGTGCTTACCATGTAAAAATGAGTTGCGATGGTAATGCAATGCATCCATACCAACTACCAAATACAGTACTATCTACAAGCTAAAACCAATTTCAAAAGGCATTATGCATAACAGAAGAGAGATTTGCGAACAAATATTCAGAGTATTGACATGTTTTCAAAGAATGTTAAATAAAAATATTTCATATTTGTATTTATTTTAAGTTAATCTAAAGTGAGTTGGGATGGATGTTGCTTTTCCTCCTCAACACGTCAGAACAGGGAAGAGGTCATTGACTATACAACTCTGCCCAGAATAACTGAAATAAAAAGAAATGAGACTTTCAGACTACAGAAAATAGCTGCATCAACAACACACCAAATCTACAGTACAATCAAACTGAACAGAGTCTAAAGTAGAGCAGACTTGGCAAAATGAAAGACATCCACCATTGACACAAAGCATGCACAGCACAATGAAGACATGAAAATGATTTGATCTAACATCAATGAAGAATGGAATAAAAGTAAGTACTGACTGATTGCAGAAGCACAATACTTGAGTGATAGTTTTGTGTCTCTCTGATATGAAATGATTAAGATGCTTGATATGTAAGCACAAACATGTACTAAAAATTAATTTAAGGACAAAAAAAGAAAATCAAGTATTATTATCTTAACAGAAAGAAAAGTGTATTTAGCCAATGATTATTGAAAACTTTCTATAAAGGAGTCATGCAGTAAGGAAGATTTCCTTCCCTTCAAGTTAGCGAAGTTAATCAAATATGATGATTATTGTGTGCGTTAACTTCAAAGCTAGTCTTCTTCACACCTACTCCTCCACCATGACTACCATGCATGACAATTTTAAAACAAGTAAAAGATATTTAGAATAGCAGACAAAACTGAAACACACCACACACATGCTTCCTCAAATTAGTTGTAAAAAGTGAACTATACAAAAATCTGCAAATAAGATTAAAAAATTGAGAAACTTGGATTCTACTTACGATGATTGGAAGGTTTGAGTCAACTCGTGTTTGAGTTCCCCTCGGTGGTTGATAGTAAAGATGCGGAATATTGGGATGCCAACAGCTCTGTACGCCCAAACATCCTGTACGAAGAAAAATTTATCTCTTAAAATTCTGTGTCTGTAAAAACAAGTAGTCACCTGATTACCACACTTACATTTATTTTGTTACCATAACCAGCATAGAATGGTTTACAGTGACTTGGGAATAGGGCTTGAATGTCTCTGAGACACGAAATCTTGAATTCCTCTGGCTTTCTCTCAATGACTTCTCTGTAAGCAAAAAGTATATGATTGTGCTTCAGATTATAAGAATGAGAACAGTTCCACATAAAATAAAAAAGAGACAATACCTGTGAAGGGCACTCATTAGGCTTGTAGGGTTGAGCAGAAGAGGCCCATCAGGTAATGAGAGATCGTCTTGCTTGATGGAGCGAAGGTATTCGCGAGTAACGCGAGCCTGACCAATAGCTCGAGCTGACAGGTACAGGAGCCTGTAGCCATTGTTTTGAATTTTTGTGAACAGTTGGGCAACTCCACTCTGAGCCCAATCTTTACCCACAATAGGAAGAATGTGGCCCAACACATCAGACTTAGTGATGGTGCCATCAATGTCAGAAATTACTATTTTGTCATCATATCTCCATTTATAGATGTTGCATTTACATCTCGTTGTTCCTTGATACGCTGTGGTGACACTGAAAACCACTTCATTTGTACCTTCTTGAAGGTTCAGCAGAGCCTAAAGAAAACAAAAGTAGAAGTTATACTCAAAACATGTTGAAGTTCTCGCTAAGTACAGACATTACAGAATGGAGAACTTACAATCTGCTCAGAGGACAGCCTAAGTGTTTTCCTGTACTTTTCAGGTGCTTGGTAATAACTTCTTCTTTCAACAGGTATTTTCACTCCACTTTTGTTCCTCTGGGCATCATCTGAGTCAGATGAATTTGATCCATTGTAGCCTTCTTCGCGAAGTGCGCTGAGAAAATTATTTGCGATTAGAAGGTTGCACAGACTGAGTGAAGGTTAGAGGCAAATCGCAAGAAAATGAGATAAAACAGTAAGCGAACTCACTCTTTTGAATCTCGCAGACCATGCAATCCCCGGTCTTGAGCGGAGGTTCCTTCATGTGGTAGAGTAACTTGAGTGCCAGCAGAAGGGATATCCAAAGTCAATGGACGGCCATCGCTTCACAAGACACATTAAAATGTTAGTAAGGTACCCCAATGGAAAGCTTATTAATTTACGAACCACTACCAATATGCTACTTGATTAATAAGGTAAACCAACTACGCAATAAAAATTTCTGACACATACCGATCAGTGGCTTCTCCTACACGGTAAGTGTCGTCAGGCATCTCCAAAATGGTGCTTGCAGATGCAGTCATGTTAGCTGGCTCACTCTCAAAGCTGGATGAGGATCCAACAGCTGAGTCTGAAGCCATTTTCTTTGGTTCATTACGGCGCCAATAAAACCATGAGGAGTATCCTCTACCTCCAGCAACATTTTCTGGTTGCTTGGCTTGTTGAGCATTAACATTATTAGGAGAGTTTGGCATGTACTCATTGGTCAACGATTTTAAAACATCCTGCAAAATTCAGAGAGAGTGTGCTTACAAAACTCACGTAGGTAAATGTCAAGTAATACGAGCCAAAATACGAAGAATGACAATTCTTACTTGAGGAAGAGGTCGACGGAAAACCATTAGTGATACTATTAGAGGTGAAGCAGCTTTCATGTTGTAGTATTGACCATCATATCTCACCACAAGATTTGGATCTTCCAAAATTTTCGGATTATTAATGAGGTCTTGGAAAGTGACAAGATTTTGCAAGAATTTCTCAGCAATCGAACTGCTAGGAGAATTAATGTTGCCACAAAGGGACAATGATACATCCCCAAAGTTACTGGTAATTAAGGAGAAAACAGTTATTAATATCACAGGTTATCAGAAAGGCAAGAAAAATATATGAGTAATGAACAACTTACTTCTTATCCAAGAAGGAATGTTTGGAGTCTTCAAAATCACTGTCAACAGACTTAGGACCCCCAATGGCACCTTCAACACTGTGAGGAGATTGAGGTAGAGATGGACCATTGCCAGATTCAGCATCTTCATCCCTTTGCAATGATGTACATTCTCCTATAAGACAGAAGATTTCATAAAAATCAAATTGAGACTTCAGAAGGGTACCCAAAATCTTACATTTGATAGACTGTATACCAATAATAATAATAATAATAATAATACTTTAAGCCATGTGTGTACCATATTAAATTAAACAACACTACAAAGCAATAAAAAAACAAAAGAGAAAAAAGGGGAAGAACAATTGCTCAGTAACAATACAGTACCATGTTGTTTTTTTTTTCTTTCATAAACAGTAGAAGTCACATCTACCCCTCCCCACACCATCGACCCAAAGAAAACAACTAAAGTTAAACACATATAAAGGTTTGGACAAGGGGAAGGAAAAGACTAAGGCAAGGAAAGTTAAAGCCTCCATGCGCAAGCAGGCATGAAGAAAGGCAGAAAAAAAGAAATATGGAAAATGTAACTAGAAAATAGCCACACAAAACTTATCAACACCAAAAGAATGATGTGCTAACTAGGTAGGATCCTCGAGCAGAGTCAAAAACTCCAGTGACAGCAACCTGGTCAGTACCAAGTAATTGCTGAGGTAAAATGTGTTACCTGGGGCAGGGCAGCCCTGACGTTGATAAGAGGTTGGAAAGTACAAGGCAGCCACTTCAGGATCCAAATCCTCCACGTTCAACTCGGACAAATATATTCCCTCAGACTCAGGATTGTGCCGAATGCGCTTAGTTTTCTTCATGAAGCTGAACATTCCACTCAGCATTGACTTTTGCGCAGCAGCTTTATCCAGTCACCCACAATCAAAGATTGCAAGTCGAGGAAATAATTTAGGAAAATGGAAAGAGAATGCCAATGTTAGCTCTAGCATAGATGCACCAAAGAAATTACTATTCTTAACAGATAAGAAACAGCCTTAGCTTAAGATTACTATATGTTTCCAATTTTAAAAATAAACATTATCAAATCGGCGTAAAGATAGCCAGAATCCAGAATTGACCAAAGGAAAGTGTTCCACATGTTCCCCATCAGACAGGCAGTAGCATTTTCAGTTTGTTGTCTTCATTTTTGTTAAGAGGTTGTTGAAAGCAGAAAGCAATAATAGCATTCTTTGGGGAAATTTCTTTTATGCTTTGAAGAAACAATTTGGTAAGATTCAAAGCAGGAAATGCCACTACCCTCTGGGAACAAATAGCTCAAAATCATGGGAGTATGATGGGAGGAACTTGTGTACAGGGATTGTATGATTAGATGAGGAACAGGTCATTCATTCAGGAGCAGTCACTATTGACACGAATATTTAAAAAAAAATCATAACTAGGAAGCCCAGCTACATGAAACATACAGATTACATAAATGCATGCTTTAATTAAGACTGCCTCATGAAATATTTGATGAAAAAGTATATTTTCTCAATTCCCGAAGTGAATAGATAGAACCATCACTAGTAACCAACATAGAAAACTTGACCCATTGAATGGACAACTCCTTCATAAAATGAAACCTCTCTGACCCAAAGCTCTCAATTAAAGTAGTAGCTTAGCCTAATTTTCATTTCTTAAGGTACTCACCATTATCTTGCTGCTTTGCAACTTCATCATCGGAGCTGGTGTTTGCTGTGCGGTCGGCACCAGCACCACTCTGCTTGGGTGGCGGGGAAGGAAGCTCGCCCCACCTCCAGGACTGCGGAACTCCAGAAGCCGAGTCTGCAGACGGACCTGATGCATTCACACCTCCCGGCCTCTTGTTGGTTTCAAATTCAGTGTCTGACTGAATGGGTGAGCATGGTCTCGAGTCCTCTTCGTCAGGGCTGCAAATGGAGAGGCGCACAGGTTAAATGATGGAAATAAATAATGAAACCAAGAATTGACTACAAAATTACTGTAGAGCAGTTCAGGAGTTTCACAGGCAAAGAACTCATGCACACAATTCTGATGGTAGGCAGACAGAGAAAGGGGGAAATTTTCCAAGGCATTGAACAAGCTGAACAGCTGTTGGACAAGCACTACAGACACCTGCATTTCAACATCTTTAATATACATTCCTTTAGAGATCCTAGGCAGAGTGGGTAAATAGTACTCAAACAATACCTACAAGTCATGCATAGGACTGTTTCAATAAAATAATCATAGAATAAATTTAGTGGATGAAAGGTCAAGTCAGGTCATGCAATATGTTGGATTTTATACACGTAGCAAATGCAATGCATATTTCTCTCTTCTCAACAGAGGAAAAAATGGAAAACAAGACAGAGGTTTCGATAGAAACAATCAAATCTACTCAAGCAAGTACTTATATAAGTTAAATGTTATTTACAAAAATTTTAGTAGAGATGGTGACACAGGGACGGGAATAGCAAGTGGAACGTTAATTGGTTTAGTCACAGGAATGGAGGCCAAGATCCCATCACTTGCAGAACGGAGGTTGCGACTTAAAATCGTTTCAGATCCCCTGCTAGCAAACACCACACCCAGTCAGCTCACAAATATGATTTTGAAAAGAAAATTCTGTTACATAAAACTAAGCCAACACACCCCAAAGAAGCCCAATGTAAAGAAAACATACCTGTTGTTTCCCGGTAGGGTTTCAGTGTCACTAAAAAAGTGAAAATCTGTAGCAGAATTTTGCACTTTGGATAAGTCTCTAGAAATCTCAGCAGCTAAATTTGCTGAAGCCTTGTTATGATCTAAAGAAGATGTTGGTGAGTCAATAGATATCGTGTCAGCAGCAGTGGAACTGCTGGGGGAAAGTGAAGTTCTCTGCAACAGGAAACAAAATGTTATTAGACCTGACCGGTACAACACATGCATCAACGTAAATTAATTGAAACCATCGATGGTAGATACCTGAAGTCCATCAACATCATCCATGGTGAACACAGCAACTTCACTATTGGGCTTGCCAGAGGACAAGATACTAGTTGCAGACTCCCAAACCACTGATGCACTCGTATCAGAGGCTTCTCCTGCTTCACTATTTTTACGCTGCGGTGTGGGTGCACCATTACCCTTCTTCTTCATCACACTTCTCTTCCGTCTTCTTCTTTTGTTAACAGAAGACTTGGAACTTTCCTCAGGACCATCTTCAGGAGTGGTTACAACTTCTACACTGGTACTTTGTGATTTAATTCCACTGGGGGGTGACCCGCTAGGCAAGCTGTCAGAGATGGGCCTGAACTCAGCAGATACTGTGCTGAGTTTACGAGCCCTTTCACCATTTTCAGATGGGCTGACAGTTTCCGCCTTGAAGGTTTTCGCCACAGAACCAGGTGTCGCAGTGGGAGTTTCTACTGAGGTGCTTGCGGGAGCAGCCAGTTTCGAGAACCCTTCATTACTAACAAATTCCGGTGTCGCGCTGTAGTCATGAGCCCAATCATATGTAATTTCACTGCTTGGTTTGTGCTCGTCTATGTCATCCTGTGCAAACTTCTGGATCGGTGCCTCCTTTGGAGTACGCTTCACAACCTGCAGGAGAAAACATGCGAGGGGTCATTCAAACTGAGAACTTGATAAAAGAAGAAGAAAGTCAGAAACGAAAGAATGTCAAGCTTGCCCAGCCTACCTCAGAGTTGCACCTCCTCCTGGACCACTCCTCGGTCTGCTGCTGGGCTGCCAGCGGCCCCAGAGTGCCGAGCGGGTCGAGGGTGGTTTCGTGGTAGTGGGCGGGGAAGCCCCCCTCCGTGGGGATGGGCGAGCAGGCCAGGTGCGGCGGCACCTCGTCGCTCAGCTCGTCCGACGACACCTCCTCCACGAAGAAGGCCTCGCCCGAGTCGCCCAGCTTCATGTGGATGTCCAGGGGCTCGCCATTCACCTCGATGTCCACCTGCAAGCACACCGACAACAACGTGAGAGAGAGCGTAGTTTTCCCCTCCATGCCGTGAATGACGGAGAACCCAATGCCACGCAAGGTGGAACTCCAACGCTGGCGAAACGCTGGCACGCCTAATTGGTTCACTCTGTGTAATCACGCTAGAATTATTTATTTTCGCCAGGTTCGCGTTTTACGCTGTGGGAGATTCCAGACGGGCCATGACGTGACCGAAACTTGTTCATAGTCCAACATGAGCAGCGGTCAAATTTAAAGACAGTGCCACTATTTTGCCCGTTTTCCCGCACTTGGCGCGTCGCCCGCCGCCGCGGTGGGCGTTGCAGGCGTTGCACTGGGCGGAACCAAATTAAAAGACTGGTATTAGAAGCACATGCGGAGCGGCAGGGCACGTCACGTCTCGTCGGCGTGGTCGCGGACATACAGTACACCGACACGTCCTGGGGGCAGCCGGCAATTTAGCCGAACCGCCTCCTGGCAACGTGTCCAACGCGGCGCGCGCTGGCGGCGCGGAACGGAACGGACGGGAGTCGAACCCAGGGCGGCCCGCGGCCCGCCCCCGCCCGCCGGATGAGTCGGCGTTAGCGCGCGCCAGTGTATAGACTCATTCCGAGACTCGCTCGCTCTCTCTCCCTCGCACCCAAACGGGACGCACCATGGAAACGAGAGCGACGAAAACGACTCTATGAACCAGTCTGCAGCGGCGTCGGCAGGGACGCGTCGGCAGCCAGCCAAAGCGGCGGGAGGGGACTCCAAGTCCATCCCATCCTCGTCCTCGTCCTTCCACCAAGACTCCACTCCACACCCCACCAGTTGCACCCAGGCGATCCAGACGGGCGGGGAAGGGAAGGGCCAAGGTCACCGCCGCGACGCCCGCCGCACCGCCGCACCGCGCCTCGGGGACCTGCCGCCACACCGCCACCCTGCCCGTCCACCAGACAGAGTCGTTTTCCTCGCTGTCTCTCTCGCAGGCGTCCCTTACAGGTGCGATCGAGACAGAGCGACTAATACATACGACTCCCGGAACGAGGATGTACAGGCCCGCAGGACACGCGACCGTCTTGACCCGGGGGCGGGGCGGGGAAGGGGTTCGGTTCGGATACACATGGACGCCGCCCCTGCTCTTCCTGCCAGGGTTGCCACCGTTGCGTGATGCCGGTACACGCGTACACTGTAAAGGGAAGGGCGCACTCGGGAGCGTCAAGCCGGCAAGCGTCCCGGTAGGACCGCCACGCCACCAGCAGACTGACTTCAAAGAGTCGTTTTCGTCGCTGTCCCTCTCGCACTCGCGGAGCACGGGGGTGGACATGACGGGGGTGTGGACGGCGCCGACGCGCCGCGGCGTCGCCAGATGGCGTCGCTGACTCACGGCCCGGCGGCGAGGCGAGGCAACCCCGACGCCGAGTGATTCACCGGCTGCAAGTACCGACTCGACTCGACTCGCTCGCGGCACACGCCGGGAACTCGGCGTACGTACCATCCTGCTCATGGCCTATCTCGCTCGCGCTCCCGCAGCGTCCCGCAAGGCGTGCGAGAGAGACAGCGGCGAAGACTGCGCGCGGAATCAGTCAGTCGTCTTCCGGCATGCGTCGTCCAGACGGTCGGTCAGTCCGCCAGTCCCCGGCGGCAAGCGTCAGCCGTCACAACAGCGTGACGTCACTGTCAGCATGTCACCACGCATCGGCAATAGAGGCGAAAGAGGGCAGCGGCCACGCCGCGCCACGCCGTGCCCCGCGGGTTGAACGAACCGGCGGCCCTCTTTCGCCGAGCTGACTCGGCTCAGCTCACTTGGCGGTGCCCAGTGTGCCCCAGTGTGCCACACAGTGTGCCCGTGGCGGGGCCCGCCGGTCCCCCGCAGCCACTGTGTCCAGGAATACTCGCGCCAAACCGCCCGCGGGCGGGCCCGCCGGAGTACGGCACCCTCGCGCCAAAAAAATTGGGAAACATTATTTATTGAATCCTAACGAAAAACAGGGATTGTTCGACACGCGGTGGGCGACGTTCCCAGACGGCGGCCAGGCGCTTATCGCGAGTGGGAGAGCAAACAAATGAGAAAGAGCGCAGAGAGGGGCGACCAGAAGCCCTGCCACCCGCCGCCTACCGCCGCCCTGCTAGACGCGACCGGTTTTCCTTGACCAATGCAATTAGACGGCTTCGAGCTTGGAGCGTCCACGTCGGGGCGCGCGGCGCGGTGAGCGGCACAGGCCGGCTGCAACACTTGCATCGCGTTTTAACGGAGTCACCCCGGCATTAAAACCACTACAGCGCGAAAGACCAGAAAACCAGGTCGCCTCCCGAAATGCCGCTGGAAGAAACCGGGTTGCGAAACGAAACGTCGAGACATGACACTGCGGCCCCCAAAGTCGCCTAGATAAGGCCACCGATTGGAGCAAATCGCCGGCAGCCTCATTCCCAACAGCGGCAGTCTCTGTCGCACTCGCGGCGCGCTCCGCAGCGGTGCGAGAGAGACAGAGCGACGACAGCAATCCATCCGGACGGCCGGCGGCTGTCATTGGCCGCGCCGGCTCGGCGACTCAATCGCTCTGTCTCTCTCGCACTCGTGGGGCGTCCCGTGCGGGTGCGACAGAGACAGAGCGACGAAGACGACTCTCGGAATCAGTGTGCAGAGCAGGCGAAGGGATCCGCTAGGCACGCCATCGCCATGGACTGCCATGGACACGGCGGCAGGCACAGCACCGCATGGCAAGTGGCACAAGGACGGGCAGGCTGCCCCACGGCTGTGCCTGGCTGTGCCGCACTGCACTGCCTGGCACGGCACTGCCCACTCCATGAGGCCCCATGAGGCCGGGGCGCCCTCCCATCCCAGGTGGGCCTGGCTGCCTGGCTCTGGTGGGGCATCTCGCCGGGCCTTGGAAGGCGTGGTGCCCTGTGCGGTGCCGTGGTGCTTTCGTCGCTCTCCCTCCCTCGCACGCCTCCGGCACGCCCCACGAGTGCGAGAGAGAGAGAGACAGCACTGTCCGGAATCCGAGCGCGCTAGGGAGGGCACAAGAGGTTCGTATAATTGCGGCTCAAGGTGGCGGCCGCCGCCTATGATGCCGAACGCTCGCTCCGTCTCCCTCGCAACCGGACGGTTCGCCCCGCGAGTGCGAGAGAGACGGCGACGCGGCAGGCAGGACTGCCCTTCCGCCCACGAGGGGACAGTCCGTCCGCGGCGTGGCCACCACACCGCGAGAGCGAACAATCGCGGAGGAAAGGGGGGGGGGCTGCGGAGGGAAAGAGAAAAGAAGAAAATTGGGGAGGCACAGCAAAGAGAGAAAGTGACGGCGGCTGGAGCAGTGGAGGAACACACAGGGGTCGTCAGACCACGACGAAACAGTCCCAGACACACTCGAGGTCGGACCAGACTCGTTTGGCATATCAGCCTGCCCCTGCAGGGGCCTGCCCGCGGCGCGGCGTCCACTGTAAGCCGTACGAATGCTGCAGTGCTGAAGGCCCGTGGGTTCGCCGACCTGCCCCACCCACGCCACGGCCGCCACGGGGATCCTGGCTCCCAGTAGAGCCCCTCGGGCCCTGGGCCTCTGGGCTGGGTCTCGGCTTCGGCACGCGGATGTGCGGATTGGGGGCTCGCGTGCGAACATCGCGCACCGCATTGCCGCTCTGTAAGCCCCACCGGCACGCCATCGGGAAGCCCCCCCCCCCTTTTCTGTCTCTGTCACACTCACAAGGCGTCCCTCAGGGGTGCGATAGAGACAGAGCTACAAAATGATCCCTCGGAACCACTCGGCAAGGCAGACGGACTCCGAAGAGTCCTTTCGTCGCCGTCTCTATCGCACTCGCGGGGCGGCTGGGTGCGAGAGAGACGGAGAATGGCATCGGACAGGGGTCGCAAATGACTGGCATGCGCAACGCTGGCCCGGGTGGCCGGGTGCGACGGCGGGGAGGGGCGCGGCCAGCGAGCCAGCGCCGTGGCACGCCGTGGCGGTGGAGAGGCGGCGCGAGGCGAGGCGCGTCTGGATCGATAGTCTCGTAGCAACGCAGCAGCAACACCGTTCCGAACCTCCAAACCGCACCCCCGGCCTACCACACCCTCCCGCCAGCGCCGCCAGCGCCGCCAGCCTTGGCCCCTGGCTGCCCCGCCCCGCCCCGCCCCGCCCCGCCCACCCCGGCACCGCCATCTCCGGAATCGCGTGCAAAACCCGTCAAAAGTCGCCCTGACCCCGCCATGCAGCCCGCCCCGCCCCGCCCGCCCCGCCCCACCCCGCCTCCACGCCCCGCCACGTCGTGGACGAATTGCATCACGGGTTACAACAGCGCCAGGCCGCAGCAGCGCTGCTGCAGGAGGCAGCGCGCAGCGCGGAGTAGGGGCACAAGTAGGAGAAGGGGCCGCCCCGCCCCGCCCCGCCGCGCCACACCGGTCATCGTGGAGCTCCAGATGGAGACGAACAGCAAGGCCGGGCGGGGCGGGGCGGGACACCTTTGCCCTCCCCGACATTGGCACCGCGAGGTGGAAGCAAGAGCAATCACCACCAAGTTGCCGCCTCATCGAGTCTTGTCTTTCTCACACTCAAGTGACGCCAGTAAGGGTGCGAGCGAGACAGCGACCACCGCCTCTTCGGAGTGGCTCGGCTGTAGGCCCCCCGCACGCCAGAGGTATTACCCGCGGCATCGCGGCCAGGCCGCGGAGCGCGGAGCCGCGGCGAGCGTGCCGCCTAGCCGCCAAAAACGAGCAAAAGGAAACCGCGTTGCCAGAGGGCGTTCCAGCGTTCCAGGATCGCGGCTGGAATGGGGGCGCCTGGGCGCCTCGTGCTCGGGCCTCACTGGAGCGAGCTGGAGCGATTATCGCCCGACCCACAATGGGGCACAGGCGGGTGGCATGTGCATTCAGAACTCGGTGGCCTAGGCCTGCCATCTGCCGTGCTGCCATGCACCCACTCCAGCACGGCCGGACCGCTGTGGACCGGACACCACCTGAATGCAGCAGCAGGCCCCGCAGAAAAGAGATTACATTGCGCGCGTGTCGTGTGTGTGGGTGCGGAGACGGGTCATGTTCCGCGGGGGCAGCTGACCTGTGCACTGCAACACTGCCCCCGCCCCGCCCCCCTCTCCCGGAGCGGACAAAGACGGCTCTTATTTGTACAGCCAGGTGCCTAGCAAGCCTACCGGGAACGCCGGGCCTAGCCGGGCCGGGATGGCGGGCTGTGACGTGAGTGCGGCAACGTGTTATGTGGTACAGTACAGCCAGCCGACGGCTAGCCGCGGCACAGCGGGAGCCGCTTGAGTCCCCGCGTCACAGGTCACCCACCGGCCGCTAACGGACAAACGGACGGACAGGTGGACGGACCAGACGAGTGACGGCAAGACGGCCCGGCCGCAGCCTGCCGCGACACCGTATGCTGGCTGCTGGCTTCATGCGACCCTCCACTGGTAATGGCAATACGTGGGTACACTGGCCCGTCGCCCAGAAAGGAAAGCCACCGAAGAGAGGAGCTAGCGAGGCAGCGACTAAAAATACCTCACAGCCTGCTCTGGTTGCCCCGCTTTTTCGTGCCGCACTTTTTTACCGAAGTGTACCACACCGAGAGCAGTCTCCACCTGACAAAGGCGGGCCGCCGCGGAGGGGGGGGGGAGGAGGGGGGTTAGTGGCGGCGGGGAGGAGGACAAGTACAACACGGCAGACATGCTGGCAACAAGGCAACACCCGGCAACCGGCTGGTGCTGGCTCTGGGTTACTGCGGCCCGGTAGGGGAGGGGTTCTGAGTTGGGTACTTTTCGGTCAAAAGTCGAGCTGAGCCGAGGCGGGCCAGGGGCAGCCAGGGGCCAGGGTTCGATCCCCGGCTCCGCCAGTAGCCGGGGGCAACCAAACGCCCCGCCAGTCCTATCAGCACCTCCGCTATCTAAAGTGGCGTGGCAAGGACGCGGACGATGCCCAGGTGGTCAAAGCCCTGGCAGACTATCGGGGGGCCCATGCCCGGCCCACGGGTCGTCAGGCCGGTAGCAACATCCGCGTAGCGTCCCCGCGTCCACGGCCCCGCGGCCCCGCGGTGCGTCAGTCCCAGTCAGCCAAACGCAGGGACTTTGGACTTTGGCACGGGAAGGCTGGTCCGGGCCGCCATCATCCTGTCAGACAAGTTGGACCGCGAATCGCGTGGCCGCGACGTGGTAGCCGCCGTGCCGCGCTGCCGTGCAAACGCTTCACATTGTCTCGGAGCTTTTCGGAGAAAGATAATGACAGGGCATTGGAGTCGTGTGGCATTCCCATGCTAGACAGGCCGGCTCAACCTGGGCCAAAGTTTAACTCATGCGGAAGACTTCCCGTGCCAGTTGCATTTAATTGATTTTGGCTGTGTACAGTCTCGTCTAATTGTTTCTGCTGAAGCCACACAGCAGACAGGTAGGGATAACGGGATTTAGTTGGATCTGGTTGGGCACCAGACTGAACGCTTTAGATTTGCATCCGCTACTAAAAATGCTTATTGCACGACACGTATCTTTGACATCATCCAGGTGTCTGGAGTGTGACAAACAAATTAATTGAGACATTGCGTCAAGTATTACAAAAATCAGAGGAAGATTAAAATCAGCTTCCCATAGATGCTAACTCAAATTTAACTTGTAACCAGCACAGTAACATCAAATGCCATTTTTCGTTACTAAATAGTTACAGGGTGATGCAAATAATAAAATAGTTGACAATAAATGCATGAAAGATTTATCGATAATGTTGTACAGTCCAGAATATAACTTTCTTACCACTTTCTCACGACTGCGGAGAACTCCAAGCTTTCCAAAGCGCACATGGAATGGAGAGCAGGTGAAGGTTCCATCAGGTTGTTCAACGATGATGACATCAATGGCACCCGTAAGAGTTGCTGTGTTGATTTCATTGTAGAAGTCTCGGAAGTTGCTGATGAACTTTCCGATGTAGTTCATGCTGTACATGGCCAGCTAGAGCGGGTGAGACCCGGGTACACTTGTTCACAAGAAATTACAACCTCACAGAGAGGTTAGGAATGGCCATCGCACAGCCAACGCGCTGGAGGAGGACGGCAAAGCCCTCAGCAAGTCGGTGCTTCGAGTTCGTCACCAAGACAACAACACCGTCGACGGTATCACTCAGTTCACACCTCACTGAAGGTAAAAATCACAAACTTAAAGCTGGTTCGCCTGGATCACAAAGGGGCAACGTCGCGTTGCGGAGTCTGGAGCACAGGCACAGCTTGGCGTTCAAGCACGACACCCACGGTGACAAGCTTGCGGCGTGGGGCGAGTAGACAAGGCACAAAGACACACTGAGTGTCCAGCTACCGACGTGAACGCGAACGCCCGAGCGGTACAAGAGCTTCGGGCAAACTGACTGCCTGCCTGTCTTGTCTGTGACTCGCGTCGCGGCGGGGCGCTGCGAGCAGGCAGCCAGCAAATCAATGGCCAGAGTGGGGGTCGGCGTGTGGGTCGGCCGGCCCGTCTGCCCGTCTCTCTCGCACTCGGGGCCCCGCGGCGGGCCGACGGCGACGGCGGCCGGCCTGGGAACCTCTTCGGCAGCAGCCCTGGCGCAGCCAGCAGCCGTCAGCTGATTCAGCGACCGTGGCGCTATCTAGCGGCCGGCGGGCGAAGCTGCACGCGCTCGTGTCGCCTTAGCCGCCCCCCCCCCCCCCCGCTCCTCTCAGCGCCACGCGCCGCGCACTATTTTTCATCGAAGTGATTATTTTATTTATTCGCAGCGCCACACCTTCGCGTCTTCGCACGCAAACACTCGAGCCGAGCACCTCAGCGTCAGACCGCGGCGGCGTGGCGCGAGACTCTTTTTTTTCGGGGCGCTTCTTCCTGCGATAACTCGCCGAGGACTTCCCTGAAGCGCTGCTTCACTTCGACATTTCAACATCCCTTATCTTTAAAATCATCGGGCTTTACTGCGTGGTGCTGGGACAGCCCACGAGGTCCAATGCCAAACTCCAAAGCAACAATTTCGCCTTCCATGTACATGGGATTATTATTTTTCAGACTGTTTCGCCACCGTCCGCATTTTATTTATTATTTTTGGATGAGGAACACCCTTTGTACCCCATGGTGGAAGAGTACCCTTGCCTCGAACGGTCCTCGATCGATTACATAGTAAGAAAATGTGTCAACTTGATTCGCCAGTGTGGGCGTCCCCTTTGCCGCCATTTGGATAGGTAATTGGCCCATTTGCACTCGTCGCTGCGCCGTGCTTAGCCGTGCTGCGCGGTCGGCTGGAGGCGATTTGGCGACGCAAATATGCGCGGGGAAGGCAATGCGAGGCAACAGGGAAGCCTCAAGTGGATGAGCGTAATTTGGATGGATTGGGAGTGTATGCAAAGAGGAGGCTCTGTCTCTCTCGCACCCACGAGTGTGAGAGAGACAGAGCGGTGGAGGAACACTGTGCGAAATCGCGGTCGCCAGGCAGGCAGCTCGCCACGCGCAGCTCGCACGAGATGTTTACCGAAAATTCGCCGAGCCCGCTCCCAGGACAATAAACAAGGACGCATCAAAAAACAAAAACACCTGGCTGCCGCGAGAAGAGTTGCCGTAGGAAAGATACCATTCACTCCACCGTAGTAGCCGATCGTAGATAGAGTGGGGGGGGGGAGGCCGTGCCTTGAGCGAAAACAAACCGAGGGACTGTACGCCAGTGCCATGGGAACGGGAATCCTTTCTCGATTTTGAATGGTAATTTTATTTCTTTAGTTTTTCTGAATTTATAACTTGCAAGTGAATTTGGACTTTACCACCCCAGCCCAACCACGCTCTCCAATTTTGCCGAAAACGTTTTGGGCCGATTGGCCGGTTTGTTTTGCTCTTAGGCCCCTGGGCTGGGTCCACCGTCGTAAACACCTCGCTTGTCAAGGTCCTGTGACTGACCGGCGCCTTCAGACGCGCGTGGCCGGCCGGTGGTGGTGGCGCGCCACCGCGGTGCGTCGGGTGGTGGTAGAACAGAACAGAGGCAGAAAAATGTCTCACTTTTGGCACAAACACGGCACCACCGGCCGTATCGGTGTGTTTGTAGTGATTCCCCTCGGCGACATGCGATACCAGGTATAGACAAGGTGCCAATTAGAGCCCCTACTTCACGCAACTACACTCGAGTGCTCGCGCGGCCCGCGCGTCACGGGGCCGTCATGAGGGTCTTGGGCTCGGCCCTCGTGTCCTGTCGAAGGCTCATTCTCTCTGTCTCTCTCGCACTCATGGGGTGCTGGGGTGCGAGAGGGACCGAGCGATGGCAGGCTGCCGTGCCGGCGATGGTCCGAGATTGGCGCGTGCGTCGGGTAGCCGCGGGAGAGAGATAACCCTGGGCTATCGCGCGGCGCGGCAGCGGGGCGGCGCGGCGAAGAAGAAGAAGCCGAGAGGCTGCTGCTTGACAGCTTGTCACGCCCCCGCGCCGCGCCTCATGAGCTGCGCGAGCTGCACTGCAGAAAGGCAGCGGACGGCGATCACCTGCCGCGATCGGAGTCACGCCATGCGTTCGTCGCTCCGTCTCTCTCGCACTCGCGGGGCGTGTCGGCGTGTCGTTGCGGTGCGAGAGAGGCGGCCTGCAGTGGCGTGTCGGGGCGTGGTTTCGCGAATCAGGCGACTTTCGAAAACCCGTCGTGCCACCTGCTGAGGCCTGGTGTGGCCCGGCCGCCTGCCTGTAGCGAGCCCACCGCCGCCACCGCCACCGCCAGGCCGCCGAGCCCAATGGGAACGCGAACCGGCACCAGCACCACGCCAGCACCACGCCACCTCGCGCCGCGGCCTGCGAGCGCGGAGCGCGGAGCGCGGTGCAACATATTTGCATAAGTTTAGCGGCTGCCGTCTGGGTCGCCTGCCCAAGGATGGCCAAACAGACCGCCAAGGCGCTAAGGCTGAGGCGGGGCCAAGGTGCCGCGCTGCCCCAAGGGGCCCTCCAGGTGCCCGTCGAGGACATCAAGGACCTCTCGCATCCAAGGAGCGTCCCGAAGGCCGGAGGGGGTGGATCGGCGTACCGCGTCCGCCGGAAAGGGGGGCGGTAAAAATTTGGGGCCCCGGTAAACCTTAAACCCGGCGGTGTCGGCCGGCGCTACGAGCTGAGCGCGGCGGAGGCGGCGGAGGCAGGTAGCGCCGGTGGGGCCGGTGGCACCGCGGCGGCGAGACACTCGGTCTCGGTGGACGGGCCGTGCTGTGCGTCGGCTCGACCAATGGCAGGCCGCCGGGCATCGCACCACGCGCTCAGGCCACGCTCGACGGCGAAAGGGGAGGGGCGGGGCGCGCGGGGGGCGCGGGGCGAGTGGGTGGCACGCACAAGCGGCCCAAGCGCGCTCACCTGTCTTCGTCTGTTTGGGAACGAGATAGCGGCTGACTCACTTGAACGAGTCGAATGCATAATGCACGCAATGCGCTTCCCGTTTGGGTTCGGGCGGCTCGACAAGCAGGGTCACAGCCCTGCCCTGCCCCTGCCGCCCCGCCCGGAAAAAAAGGTCCCCTCGACCCGGCGTTCTTGGAACACCCGGCCGCCCCTTTTCCCGCCGATAGGTGGGCGGTGCGCCTCGCTTGTTGACTTCTAGTGGCGCGGCTCGGCACGACGCTTCGCTCCGACGCCACCTCCCTTTTGCACCATTCAGCGGGTGGCATCAAATCGCGCCGCCCATGCAAGCTGGCGCGATGCTTGGGCTGCACAGGCTGCACTTTGGGAGTGCGAAAACAACACACTCCGCGCATACTCCGTGTCACCGGGAACTGAATGCAGCAGTCTGACGCTGGGAACGCGGCAGTGCGTCCTGCCGCAGCGGAAGCAAGATTAGATATGGAGGGGGGGGGCACTCCAGCCGCGACTGCATCGCGACATTGTCTAATTACCGAGTCGTCTAGACGCCGTCGTCGTCGGTTTATCGGCCGCGCCGTCCGA